CGAGCGGCGAAAGAGGCCTTTGAAACTCTCTGTGGCATAGCGTCGCGAATTCGTAACGACGCGCTTTTTTATCTTTTAAAAATCGAATTTCGCGCGCATTTTCTCCGCGAAACTTCCACCGGGCTCTTCAGTAAACAGTAAAAGAAAAAACACTACAGAAAAATAATTGCGGTAAAAATCACTCAGATGCCTTTCCGAGAGATAAACTCGACAATAAATAACTCGGCGGAATAGCGAAGAGTGTAAAACAGTGGAAGGCTATTCGAGGTTAGGTTCGAACCTAACATGCAACTATTTTAACTCTGCGGTGGGCCGGGTTGCATACGCTCGATTTTGCGGGCGAAATCTGACACTTGCCCACGGCTCTCGCGATTGGGTATAGATGCAATCAGTTTTTTTATCGAGCGTGACGTATATTGCAGTCAACTATTTCGACGCTCTTGTCGCACAGATTAGATTAACAAACTGAGATGCTTTTCGAAAAACGAATTCGACCCTTGAATAATTGCGTTGAGCGTGAAACATTGGAGGAAAATACGAAGTTGGATTTGGACACAACGTGCAACTATTTTAACCCCGCGATGGAACGCTTTGCATACGCTCGAGGAAAACACTATTCATAACTGTACCCTATCTCTATTGCGAGCGATGTAGGCCGTGGATAGATCTTAGATTTCGCCCGCAAAATCTAGCGTATGCAACCCGGCCCACCATGAAGTTAAAATAGTTGCATGTTGGGTTTGAACCCAACTTCGTTCATTCTTTCATTGTTCATCGCGTTTTATTGAGCTGAATGAATGTTCTGTTATGTATCTACAATGTTAAAAAAAGGCTCAGATCTTATCAAAATGTAACCCATAAACATTCGTGGTTTATTCCTCCGAGCTGCAAACCTATAGAAATGCACGTGACGTACAGCAAATGACTCTACCTCGAATTTTACGACTCAAAAAATATTAAATCCCGCCAACCTCTCAGTGTTGCCGAATATAACAGAACTTGTCTATCCTTGCATTTGCGCGCTCAACTGACAACACTAAATTGTACAAATATTAATTTTTCGGGTTGTGATTAAAAATAGAAAAGGGTCTCTGAGTGCACAAATTTGTGCTGAGTGATACCATTGGGAGATATTTCGTCCAAAAATATAGCGTGACTGCTGTGGTCAAAAATATAGCAGGATATGCGTGAATTATAAACAACGCGATTCAACTGGCCTGCGCGTAATTTATTCCATTCGCGGGCGCGTTTAGCCAGAGCTGAGGATAATGAAATTGTTGGAGTAGCCGGCGAAAGGCGGCTGCAAATGCTGAAGTACATTACGCGCAGGTAATGTCAGTCGAATTGCTTTGTTTAGAAACATGTCTTGTATGGTTCTCCGAAATTAATTTATTAGCGTGAATTAGTTTCATTTCATAACCGAATCGATCCAGCCGAGGTGATCTTTGACTATATAAAAGAGGATTTTAAATGTCAAGGAGACAAGTGAACTGCAACATGAGTACGATGCATCGGTTCTCTGCTTCCGCAAAGAGAGGATAGGAAGCCGGTCTTCGCCGAATTCTCTCCGATTATAATTTAAAGGCTCGTCTTAAAACCGTAAACAATTTTGCTTGCCCAGTAACTGATACATGCTGAAATCTCTGCTTCAAAATGACATTGAACATTACGAAAGAAATTATTCAAAACTTGAAAATAAAATTCGATAAGATTTGGAGAGAAGTATCATTGAATTACCACTGTTTTTGTGTCGAATCGGTTAAATTGAAATTCTATAAAATTTTCCATTCTAATTTTAAGGTAGTTTTTCAATGTAGTTCGCAGGTAGCGTCACGCAGGGGGTTCCAGACAGTGCATGCAATTCCGCAAAACAAATTTATGGCAATGTAAAAATATCCACTGCCGAGTAGAATAAATGAAAGTTTGTAAAATCCAACCCTCCTCGAAGAGTAAATATCCTGTCAGTATCACTCCTGAAAGTAATACCTCGACAAAAAATCCTCGATAATAATGATTTCGTCGCGGTGAAGGTAAAAAGCTTGCTTGTAAACAACAGCAAAAAATGAATTGGAGCACTAGCCTAATAACCCACAGGCGCGTAACCCACCGGCGCACAGTGAGTCGAGTCAATCAGAGAGGTCGGACATAAAAGTTTTAACTAAAACTGCAAATTTTGATGTTTATACTGCCAAATTTCAAATAATAAGAGGAGCTCCTAGAAGAAGTTTTCACGAGGTAACCAATAAAATCACTTTTAGAACCTCAAAATTTTGTATAAACGGAGTTATAAGCGTTTAAAGTTTCCAAATTGTGTCCGACCTCTTCTATTGACTCGATCCACTGTGCGGCGCGTAACCCACCGGCGCGTAATGTTTTGCACTTTGAATGTAGTGGACCAAGTCCAGCAAAGACGCATCAAGTCACATTATGGGAAAAAATAAGTTGGGAGTGGTTTTAAACTCAACTTGTCGTAAAATTTACTCATGCCAAAACTCAAAGTTGAGATGAAATATTTTGAAAGTGAAAGCTCACTAGTACAGTCATTAAATTTTGTCCTTAACACTGAAGATTAAAACTTCAATCCCCGCGGGGTTTTCTCGGTTCAAACTTGATGCGTTTATGTTAGGCTTGCGGCTATTTTGCGCAAAAGTTATTGTTGCATCTGAACGCAATAAAATTTCTGATTGTCTTAAGGCACGCCCCGCCGAGGAAAGTGTCCTGGGGGTTCTCTGTAGACAGCTACAAATAGGTTAACCCATAACAAATGTAGGTACCGGTACTCGCACTGTCAAAAATTGACTTTCCACTCGGCCCAATTGTTCAAAATCACTTGATTTTAAATTCGAACTTCTGTAATTAATTGCCACCCTGTTTTTTCTTCAACTTTGATCAATTTTTTGAGCTTTTATTGAGATTGTATGAACGTGTTGGGTTGGTCTGTTTGTACTCTAAACTTTACAGAAATACAAAATTATAGCGTAATTAAATGGGTAGATTTTCGAGGTTACCTATTAAAAATGACAAATAGGTCACTGAATCTTGTATTTTTTATTCAATATTCTAAAAGTGCCGAATGAGTAGATTACGTGGTGATTTACAGCGTATTTTTGGAGCCAAACTCCCGGACAAGCCCGCTCTTGATAAGTCCAAAGACTCAAATGAATTTCAAGCGCGTCGGAATGGTGAGAAAATGATAGAAGTGACGTACCTACTAAGGCAGTCAAATTGAAGGTCCTCTCATTTTCCAACGATATTAATGTGAAATTTTTGCTTTTTAACTACAGAAAACATGAAGGAATTTCGATCATTTGCTTCTAAAGATATACGTAGCTCCGACTTTTCTATTATTTTCATATTCCCTATTCCTATTTCCTATTTTCCTATTATTTTACTAGAAGTAGAGAGAAATTTGACGGAAGTCGTAAAAACCCGCGTTTGCTTTCTGATTGGCGCTGGTTGACACCAAACGGATCGGCGCGAAACCGCACCACCGCGGGGAGTTTTACGTTTGCGAAAAATTTGCCCTTTTTGAACTGCGTATTTCTCGATTTTCTAGTTACTTTTTCGCGCTTTTTTAATGTGTGCATAATGTTCTACGCGTCGTTTACCATCAGAAAATGTATTTGTGAGCAAAAATTCGTTCATGGTTTAGTGACCCATTCTCCAATGTTTTGCTCATGGACTTGTTTTCGCGCGCTTCAAATACGGTTATCAATCACAAAGTGGGCGATCCAGCTCTGGCGATCACCTATGCGGCGACTTCATAATGTATTGCATGAGTCAAATTGCCACGAGTGGATTCGGTTAAGTTTATGACGTATTGCGAACCTCCGTTACAACAAAACTAAATTCCCTCCGGGTGACGGTGCGCCTACAACATTTGGTTTTCATGCTGGCAGCAATGGCGACCACATCCAAAATTCTCGACTCACCTCTCGAAGCGGGTCGAAAAATGGATGGATGCAAACGTCAGTTAAAATTCATCAAACAACCGAGTTCAGTTCTTAACCTCAGTTTCAGTAGAGCACTTTTCATCTTAGGGTTGCATCCTTGCATGGGCGGATTCAGCAATTTGGCAACACCGGATTCCCTTCGTTTAAATTTATGTTAACTAATCGATTCTTGTTGGAGCAATATACCCCTCCAAGAATCGATACATCTCAATAGGTTTAAATGGAGAAAAACAATGTTGCCAATTTTTTGGATCCCCCAATGCATCCTTACAGATTTAGTCGAAAAAGTCGACCAAATCCACCCGCGGAAACTGCAAACCCTATAAATACGGCTCATTTTTTTTTATCGATTAATCGCCTCTCCGAGATGGACGTGAAAGTACCTTTTGGTTCAATCAAAAAGCCGATTAAATTAGGCGTATTTTATCTTGTCAAATTTTTTGAAAGTCCGGACTCTGGAACGGAGAAACTTTTTTCTAGTGTTCGCTCATACCGCAATCCTCAGGGTCTGACTCTCCCTCCCCCTTCCGCCACAGGCTATTAGCAGAGAGAAGGTCATCACTTTAAAACTTTAAAGACTGTCATTTTTCTGAAATGAGAGACACCAAAATAAAATAAAAAAAAAGAAGAAGAAGAAAATAAAATTAACACTGGACTCTTGCCCATGTTACACCCTTTTCTCTTTGCACGGTGTCGTTGAAATCTACGAATGCTCTGATTGGCCGCCTCTCGAAGAACTCACCTTTCTATTTACGACGCATTGCGCGCCCCAAGCTATTAGCAAAGAGGAGGTCACCATTTTAAAGCTTTAAATATTGACATTTTGCTGAAGTAAAAGACGCAAAAAAAAAAAAAAAAAAAAAAAAATTCTATATTCCTATTCTCTTCGCACGGTGACGTTGAAATCTGCGCGTGCTCTGATTGGCTGGCTCTGGAAGAGCTTACCTTTCTATCTGCATCGCATTGCTGGAGCATCGGGCGGATGCGTCGACGCCCGCGGGAGACAAAGACCTTGATGACAGCTTTTAATGTGGCGGGCGGCTGGACTCTTCGTCAGTCGTTCCTCGTTTCGTTCCGGTTGAGGTCGATAGTCTCCAGTCTCCAAATCGCAAGTAAGTCTTGAGTTAGAATCAGCATCACTAGTCCTGGGGGAGGATTACTGATTTGAGGAATGGGACACGGTGTCACTAATTGAGGCGTTGGGTGCGCAGAAAGGGCATTTCTTGCTGGCGGTGCGTTTCAGAATCTCCACTGCTAATTGTATCGCATTTAGCGAAAAGAAACCATCGTAATTACAGTGTTTTCAAAATTGTGCAACTTCTTTTTTATTTTTTTAAAAATACTAAATAAATATACAGTCTTAAAATTTACACAAGTATTTCCCATTAAAATTAAAAACTTTTGGTGGGATGCAAAAACTATTTGCTATTTTGGGATGTTTTATAAATAAATATGAAGAAGCAAAATTTTAACAACACTGCAATTGCGCTGGTTCCTTTTTGATAAATGCTATCCAATTGGACCGCGTTAAGTAGAAAGGAACCAAGCTACAGCAGCCATTGCTAAATTTAATGGGGCAATTTAATTTTTTACATGAAAATGGTTGAGAGGATTTTTGTGAAAATTTCTGTGACTTTTTTGCATATAGTACGAAGCAAATTCCTTAAAATTTGCAAAGGAATCTGCACAAATGTTCTCTTGAAAAAATTAAATTGCCCAGTCAAACTTGACAACAGTTGATGAGGCTGGGTTCCTTTCTGCTAAACGCGGTTCAATTTATATTTTAGAAAGGAAACTTTTTTGTATTTATTGAATGAATTTTCTAAAATTTTTAGTTTCAAGCGTTATAAAATCATAAAGAAAATTCAGTAGAAGCTGTAACGGATTCCACGGATTGCTTTAATTATAGTGGATGAAACCTTAACGGAGATACTGAGGCACCGCAACCAAGATATAGGTATCCTTTCTGCACCCAGCGTTTCAATTGGACCCTATTAACTGGCAGGGATGCAGGAAATTGCTTCATAGCACAGAAAATAGGAACATGAAAAAAAAAAAAGATTCATTTGGCATAGAATACAAAACCCATAAAGCAAGGAAAGGGGCCGCTCATAAAATACGTAATGCTAAAAATTAGATTTTTACCCTTCCCTTCTTGAATAACGCACTCGTACAGCAGGTTCACACCCCATAAAAAATACTCACGCTCCCCTTCATCCTTTCCTTCAAATCATAAAAATCACTAATAAATTTCAGTTTCCCCTTCCTTCTTTTTATTTGTGGAAAACATGAATTGAGGCAAAAAGAACTAAATAAAGTACCTAAAGGTAAAAATCAGTGATCCAAAACCTTTTTCAATCAAAAAATTTAAAGAGGAGAGTAAATGATATGTACTATGAACTGAAAATGAACATAAAAATAAAGCAATATAATAAAATAAAGTAAAATAATGAAATGAAAAGAAAATATTTTTAAGAAAAAAATTATGTAAAACGTTCAACACTGTAACGTAGCCCCAGACGCCCTGCCCCTAACCGCGCTCTATCATGAATGCACTCTGAATGCAGGTTCAAAACGAATCCCCTATGTTTAATGAATGGTCCCGAGCTAAACAGGGCTGTTCTAAAAGGGATACAGTATATCAATAATTTTCACCGAGTTAAAATATTCTCCAAACACCCTTAAGGGTTATACTTTTTTCTGTTTTACTAATTCATTCAAGAAAACATTTTTGAGCTTAAAATATCATTTATTCAAGAGGATATATTTGGGGCTAAGCATATTATTGACCTTTTTGACCGACTTGAATCATTATATAGGAAAACTCAACTTGATAAACCTTAGAAAGTATCATAACGTAAACTACTTTTAAACTTTTCTAACTTTTATTCATATAAGACATTTAACAAACCGGGTTGAAAATTCAAGCGATTTTTTATGTCATTCCAAGAATTCTTCTCTTTTGAAAAGAATGATTTATTACATGACCCTCTTAATGGGTTATTGCCTCCATGCTTTGTGTGATACTTAACTCTAAATGTGTGAGGGATTGTTCCATTAAACCCTTGCGCACTAGGATGCTACACGCTGACGCTTCCGCGCACCATGGTCTTTATTAACGCAAAGAAAATGTAAATATAAACACGCCGGTTGGTAAATTCCTGTCTGTTTTGGCGGGTTGGCGTTGACCATGTTGAATAATGCGTGGCATCATAGTGCGCATAGGGTTGGATGGAACGACTCCTCTCACGAAATGTTCATCTATGCCGTAGCATCATTTTTGAAACGAAAACTTTAAAAAACGCGTATTTCTTGCTCAGATTGTGAAATTAGGAGTGTATTTCAGACTTCCTGTTGCGCTTATCGTGATTTTTGAGCCATTTACTACTAGAAGTTACTCTTTTTTATGCTCCAGCTGAAGTTTGCTACAGGCTCATTGCAGTTCTAGAAACGTTGTCTTATTTTATAAATACCTCTGATTATTAAACTGTCATTTAGAAATCATTCCTACTTAAACTGCTGACTGGTTAGTAAAAAATTTACTGATGCTGAACCACACGAAAGCTTGCGAAGACGGTAAAATTCAAGAATCCCTTTAGAGACTTTAACGCAGTGCAGGAAAAGAGGCGTATCGACAGGTTTACGGACAGTAGGTCTAGAGGAAAAAGGGCTACAAAAAAAGGGCTACCTTCTTTGGTCTACATTCAAAATGTCTACATGAAAATGCCTAATAAAATAGTGTCTATAGTAAAATATGTCTGCGGTATTAACATGTCTTCGGTTTGATTGCCTACTCCAAAAACTTCAAAGTACGTATCCATGTCGTCTGATAAGAATCTCATTTGAAAGTGTATCCCCAAAGACAGGACGAGACTGTGGATGCTGCAGAAGCTGATGCGTAAAAATTGTGAGTCACACTTCGCGAATAATTCACCATATAAATATCAACATGTATATTTTATAAATATTTTATTTAATTTTTTTTATAAATATATTTTATATATTTTTAGTGTCCAACATAAATATTTTGACATTTTCTAAGTGGGCAAACAAACCGCAGACATTTTAATAGCGTAGACATATTTGACTGTAGACATAATTTAAGTAGGCATTTTAATGTAGACGTTTTGCCTGTAGACTAAAAAAGGTAGCCCTTTTTTTTGTAGCCCTTTTTTCTGTAGACGTACTGTCTGCATACCTATCGACACGAGTCATTGAGACATTATTTTTCAAAATTTGCTATTGCCGAACCACACGAGAGATCGCCAAAACGGCAAAATGCAGTAGACACTTCAGAGACTTTAACGCTGCGCAGAAAAGTAACAAACGCGACTTTAACGCATGGAGACATTTTATTAGAGACAATTATTTGAAACTTTGCTCATGCTAAACCACACGAGATGAATTAAAGTATAGTATCAAGGATCATTAGTTTTCATTTTAAATTTCTCACACGCATTGGCGCTGCACCATCAAAGTGAAGCATGTGGACAGGAAAATTGTTATTCCAATAAAAAATGCGTGCTCATGACCATTTCAAAATTTTGGCCAGCTATGTTTTATTCATTTCCATCTGACTTTAAGAACACTTTTAGGCAGGGAAAAATGTGCGTCTTTAAGGCGAACTTTTTGAGAGGTTTCTGAGAACCTAATGTTATAAAAGCCAATATGTTTGGTATAAATTATTTTTTTCTTAAACTTTTATTAAATTAATATTTATAAACTTGATTCACACTTATACGTCAAAGTTCACGCCTTACCTAGTAGCAATTCTGGTCAATGCAAATGAGTTTTCTATGTTTCCTGTAAAATGGCGCCTTTTTTAAAGGAAACGAATTATTTAAAACTTCGGAAGTTTAATTTAAAAAGGAGAAAATAATGTGTATCTTTCAAAATTGGTTAACTTGCATAGTTGAAGAGATGATCAATCTTCTCGGATGTTGTGGTAGTCGGTTAAAAAAAAAAAAAAAAAAAAAAAAAAAAAAAAAAAAAAACCATGTAGCGTTTTCCTTGTATGATTACTTGCTTGTCCACAATAACAGAGTTTTTTTGCCTCGAAGCTTAAGTCTTTGGTAAGGTAATTGACATGAAGAAGAATGCTCTTGCAAAGGAAGGAGGTCAGCATGAGGTAGACACGGCACACCCACAAAAGCTTCCTAATGCCTCGACGTCACGTTGGGAAAAAAAAAATGTCAGAGCCATCCACGTACAGAAACGTATTTTCATTGTTGTCTCGATGACTGATGACCCACTGAACGTCCACCTTAGAAGAAAAAAAACTTTCTACCTAAGGATAGGGAGCAGACTTGAAAAAAAAAATCGGCTTCACTCGTTCAGTAGGTTTGTTGCAAACAGAATAAACAGCCAACTATACTGTCGTGCCAAGGAAGAACGCCGTATGACCCTTCGTGCGTTGCCAAATTTCTTTTGGTAAAATACGAGTTTTCATGAAAACTTGTGATAGTTTTCCGTCCAGTTTTCTAGAGAATTTGCTCCGCACTGTGATCTATCAAGTATCAGAGGAGACCAAGAAGACATATTCATTATTTATCTCAAAAATTAATATTTTAAGGGGGAATTTTGGCAATTGGATGTTCAAACTGCGTTTTTACTTAGCAAGGCAGTATAGGTGGAAATTTTCATAGGGACAATCGTAAGGAAATAACTTTGTGCCTATCAAAGATGTTTTAAATGCATTAAAAATGCACAGAGTTTTTAAATTTTAAAATTTTAAAAATGCACGCATTTTTAAATTTCCCGCTCCCACGAGCTATTTTTTCTTAATTGGCAGCAATCATGTTTGTCCAAAGAAAGATTAAAAAACCGGACCTAAATAGATAAACGATTTTGGATCCTGTTTTCGAATTTTCTCACGCTCGACCTCAATCATTTTCAAGCAGAGGCGGATCCAGTTTGGCAATAAAATATGTAGATTTCATCCATTTAAACCTATGCCAAATAATCGATTCTTGTCGGAGCAACTGGTCCCTCCAAGTATCGGTACATTTCTATAGATTTAAATGGAAAAAAGACAATGTTGCCGATGTTTTCGAGTGATTGCTTTCTTCTTCGCAGTAGATTTTCAAAATTTAGAGGCTCATGCATACCGATTTCTAAGAGTTATGGTGGTTTCGCCGATAAGTCAGCAACCTAGAGTTTTTTTTTAAGCAAAAACTCCGATCGGGTAAAAAGGCCTATTTATCGAATTTCAAACTAACCTATCAGCTAAAACCCAAAATTCCGAAAATTTTGCTCGGTCAACATTGTAGAGGGGTTCAAAAGTTTGAAACTAGGTCAAAAATTCGTATTTTCGTGTCAATAAACTTTTACGCATCAAATTTTAAGTGAAACTAGCATTGAAACACGAAATTCGAATTTTCCACCATTTTGATTGGCCCCTTTTTTAACAAGGCTTCAAATTTTGAAAATCTGATGATAAATCCGTATTTCACATGTCTAGTAACCATAGTAACTGAGAGCAGAGCCAAGTCATCGGCAAAAACCTCCAAAAACCTTTCAAAACGCATGGGTTTTCCTCTACTAAGATAGGACACCGTTTTTCAAAAATTGCAAGATAGACTTGGAATACGCTAAAAATGTTCTTGTCTCACTATCTCTCCAATGATGAGACATGAGGCAGGAGTCCGATTTTTGCAACAACTGAATCTCACCTCTGGTAGCTCCCAGCTAAGCCAGCCTGCTTCTCTTTGAATATAAAGGCTGGCAATGACTCGGTTTCGGATATTTTGTGTGGAAAAGGTTGGCTGACTTTTTTGGCCCCTAGGTTTTCAAAACGATCTACTCCTACTCTCTCCATCTAGGTGCTCTTCAAAACACCGGGTGTTTTTATTTTTATAGAATGTCGTTGAACATGTCACAACATAATACATTTTATCTCTCAGAGCTCAAAATGATATCGTCGTACGCTGCCGTGCTAAGGAAGAACGCCGTATGAACATTCGAGAGTTGCCAAATTTTCCTTGATAAAACATTTATTTTTGACAACACGCATGCATATTTTTCCTTGAAATTTTCAGATATTTTAGATTAAATTGCGTACACAATTGTATGAAACTTTTGGAAACTAATTTTCAGAATTTTCCCGGTAAATTCGGTTTTCATTGAAGGAAACTTGGCAACGTCTGAAGGCTCATACGGCGTTTTTCCTTAGCACGGCAGTACGCATGTTATTGTTATTTCTGACGAGTGCTTAAATGCTCACTACACGTGGTATTTATAAACTCATTCTTTTATTACAGAGAAGCAAGAATCCCGAAGGGCATCAATTCCTAAAAACCAAACTAATTACACTCAGAATTTGATTAGTTTTCAAGGGAAGGGAGCCAAAGCTCTTGCCTTATTTTTAACTTCCCTAGCACCTCTCTGATACAAAAGGAAACATGTTCAAACGGGTTCTCTGCTGATCACCACTTTGCCGAGTTCTGGAGAAGTTTCGACCCAACGGCGATTTCGACCAGTTTTGACGACCTGCAACAATGGCGACAAGAGCAAGCCTTCGATTTGACAATACGACAGAGCCCCGTTTTTGGGAGGCCTTAGCCGATGAAATCTCTCAAGGTTAGTCGCTCCCGCATTTTCTTGAGAATTCGCACAAATTATTCATTCCATGAAAAATATTCGTGACTCCTCCTGCATGCAACAAAATAAAAAGAAAATCTTAATCTTTCAATTGTTATGATTCCTACGAAATGAGGGATTTTTCTGGAACCTAAGCAAATTTAGAGATGAATGCAAGGAAAGAGATGCAAAGTATGGAATCAAATTTTAAAGTTCAACCAGTGAGTCAGAAGTTAAGGAAGTTAGAGAATTGCAGTTGGACTCTGCATTCACCTGAAGGGGGGTTATTTATTGCTTTTAATATCAGACCTTACGACCTTTTTTAGCACCATTTAGAAATCTGTAACATCTGACATTGAGTTCATCTACTTCATGGTAATTTGATAGCTGAACTAGTTACATTAGAATTTTGGAGACTTAAAACAGCGGCCACGTTATTGATGTCTTCCGTCATGGTTGTACACTTTTTTTTGCATGAAAAAAGGTGTGTGTGGGTAGATAATAAAACACAATTCTTAAATTTGATCAAACATAGAGTTAGGATTGACCTCGTTCATGAGCTAAGCACCAACAAAAAATACCTCAACATAACCTGGCCAGCCATCAGACGTCTTGCTTTAACCAAAATTTTATTGTAGAGGTCCAAAATCGAAAAATTGTGTCATCTTAATTAGTTGATACCTATTTAAAAGGCAAAAATAAGGTAGAAGGTTTATTCGATGTTTAAATTTGGGGAATACGTATTTTAATTGCAAGGTATAAAATCTCGGCTTATGTTTTATTTTCCTTAAAGAAAACGAATCAAAATGTTTCCCTGAAATTCTGTGTGTTTTTCTCAGAGTGAATGAGGCAAACTGACAGACAGTGGCGTAACGGACTCCCGCTGGGCCCCCCTGCAAAATTTTTTCCCCCCCCCCCCATGTCGATAAAATTCCAAAATCATCCCCCCTCCCTCCCCCCTTCTTCCCTCACCCCTTCCCGTTTTATGGCCCGAGAAATTTCAAATCACGGACTTGGAATGCCTCTCCCCTCACTGTCCCGGATACCGTACCCGATTAAATGGGGCCCCTAGAGGATCAAGGATCTAAAGGGTGGCGGGGGCCCAGCCCAGCCCCAAGGATCTACAAAAGGGCCCATGCAGGCCCAAGAATCGAAGGGCTCCCAGGGGCCTTGTGGACCCTTTAGATTCATGGGTCACCCAAAGCCCGAAATACCTACGAAAAGTGACAAAAAAGAGAAAAATTTTAGTAATCACTGAGTGGACATTGGAAGGCAGGGGCCCTTCAGCAAAAAAAAGTTAGGAACAGTCCAAAAGAAGTATGAAAAACCCTGAGCTAACGATAAAAATCAGCGGAACCTACCTCGGTTTCGGTATGACAAACTTATAAAATTAAACTGAACTCAAATTCTTCCTAAAAAAAAATTCCAGCGGCCGAAGGCCCGGAGGGCCCCCCTGCATAGCAGGGTCTGCGGGGGCGCCCGTTACGCCACTGCTGACAGAGAATTTTGATAGAAATTCTTGGTTTGCTCTCTTTTAAAAATATAAGACATAAGCGGAGATTTACAGCGTCGCAATTTGAGATAGGTACCCATTTTTCGACTTCAGCCATCTATATTATCCATTGCTGTGTGCCAATTGATTTCTATTCATTGATAAATCATGAAAGAAACGAACAAAAAAGATTTGTTTGAGTAGGGTTCGACCTTACCTGCCTATCATTAAAAAAATGTCTCTTATACCATGCGCATGGAAGTAGCGCAATTTTGTGAGATTGATAAAACATTGAATCTTCCCGAATAATGTCCTAATATCTCCACTAAGGCAGAATATTCTCTTCTTTTAAAACATAAAACAGAACTTTTGGTTTGAGTCATTTCATTGACTGGAGTTGAAACATGTTTATATCCACTACAATGTCCAAAAATAACACATTTTGTTCGATTTTATTTTTAAAAGAAAGAAAAAATAATTTAACCAAAAATCGCGTTAAAATTTCGAAGGAAATTCTCACCGAGTATAAAGAAAGAGAAGTACGAAGATTTGCAATTCGCAATTTAAGATACTCATTTTTTCACTATAGCCATCTATAATTATGTGTCCATCGTATATTTTTTTTTGGTTGGCAAGACTTCCGTCTTCCGATATGCTATAATTGCAAACTCAAACTACGCTCAAACACTTCATTATTTTGCACATTCATAAAAAAGTGCTGGATTTCTTTTTTGCAATCTTACTAATATTTGCGATTCGTATTTCGCCGAAGCATCTTCGATTCCGCTTTTTCCGTAGGCAGATGCATGAGCACTGCTTGAGGGCACGCATGAAAAGAAGAAAAAATCTATCTTGAGAAAATAAGCCTCCGCCCTTTTAAAATATAAAACTTTCATATACATAAGAATGTCACCAACAGTTTACTTTCGTCATGCATTGCTTTTTTACTTCATTTGTGTAATCTCAAAAAAAGAGAGGAAACAACGAGTGAAAGAAAAAATTCATAATGAATAGAGGGAAAATGAGTGTAGCCGTGATTCACTACATTTAAAAAATTATTCCCAGCATAAATAATTAGTTCCTTGTATCAATCAATGATACAGTGTTGCCGACTTTGGCAAGTATGAAAACCTTTACCTTGTAACTGTGACCTAGTTTGCCCAGTAACTTCTTGTGCACATCTGTACTTGCCTTTTTAAAGTAATATTTCTGAAATTGAGTTACTTTTTCTGTATAATTTTTGATAATGCACTCTGAAACCCAAACATTCCAAGATGTATACATGACAACTACCAATGACAACACAATAGCATGAAACTAAATCCTGAGAGTCGTTAATCTATGGTTTTCTTAGTACACTCAAATAAATCGCAACCCCTAACTCGCAAAACTATGTTAAGAATGAGAATTATTCTCTTCAAATTTGTTACTTCGATAATGTTCCCCCCCCCTTTTTTTTTAAACCCTGTTGGTTTTATTGTAGCCTTAGTTTATTTCACTATTTCTAAAGGAGCACCAAGACATTGTCTCGCATCTTTAATTGACACCTTTTTTTATGAACTTATTGCAGATGAGAAAATCGATTCGTGGCCTTTGATGGGTTCCAAGTGGCCTATGATAGCTCTGTTTTTGTTCTACTTACATTTTTCCACAAAGTTAGGCCCGAAATTGATGAAGGATCGACCGACACCTAACATAAAATGGACTAGCTGCTCCGGGCGCCCTACGGGCGCCCTCCACAGCTAGCAATAGTGGTGCGGTAGCTTATTTGGAATGGGAGCGATTAGTTGAATCTATTTAATAATGATGATGATTCTGCGGCAAAAGATCAAGGAATTTAACTGCCTCTCTGCGTTACAGGGTGGAGACTGCCATTCTACCGAAAAATGTTGTAAAAAGCTCGCATTATTAGTTTTCCTTTTTTTGTGTTATTTTTTAATTATTTTTTATTTTTATTTTTTGATAATTTTCTAATGACTATGAGGCTTTTGGGATTTATAAAAGATCGAAGCACCTCTTTGTGCACGATGTTTTTCGTACGGTTGCCTTTGGGAAGAATTTGGACTTCAAAATTTTTGTACGATGTAGCTCGTGAGAGTGCAACATATAGTTGACCATGGCCAAAAACTGTTTGGGGTAAATAAATGCTGACTCGCTTCAGTGTTTGACCCTTAGCTTTGATGATGGTCATGCAGAACGCAATGCGAATTGGAAATTGTCGCCTCTTAAAAGAGAAAGGGAGAGAGGAGTCTGCAGGTGACAAATCAATTCTTGGCAGTGAAATTCTTTCACCGGCCTTCTCGCCGGAAATGACCTGCAAATCAAGACAATTTTCATAACGTTTCCAGACGATCAATCGGGCACCATTCGATAAACCTTTGGAAACGTTGAGAATTCTTAAACGCATGACAAAAACCCCCTCCAAAAGTGTGAGTTTATGCGGTGGTAAGCCACTAAGATTAAGACTGTCCAAGAATTCGAGGGGAAAATTGAGAGCCTCTCCCTCTTCCTCTACAATGAGCCTGTTAACACTGAAGTACGTTTTAGAGACATCTGAAAGAACTTCAACAACCTTGTCGTTAATTTCATTGCAATGCTTATTTTTAGAGGCCAGAATTGCGCAGTTTGTGAAATCTACGTTCGAACATGAGGAAGCTATATTTTCCATAAATTTCAGTAATAATATCAACTCCTTTCAGTAATACTGCTTGTCGGTAAATCAATGAATTCCGGCATGGCCTTTTTTAGCAGAAAGGTAAACGCCATCACCTATTTCGAGTTAAAATTTTGCAAACTCCGCTTCGTCTTGCAAAGTTCTCATATTTTGAGTAAGTTTTCTGATTTTGAAAAGAGGTCAAAGTGGTGAGAATTTGATTGCATTTTGCACCAATGTTTGGCGAGAAGCATGCGGAACAACGGGTAAAACCTGTCTAAAATCACCACCCTAGACGACAATTTTTCCTCGAAAAGGGATATCATTACCCATTCTCTAAGAAGTCGGTCGATGCATGCCAGAGCATGCGTGATAACCATGGGAGCTTCACCCCAAAAAATGATCGTTGTTTTTCGAATAGTCTCAGCCTCTCTTGAGCTAACCGTCAGACTCGACACAGAATTCTCATTCAGAACCGAAGGAATTTTGAATTTGCTATGAACCGGCCGACCGTTAGGTAGCAACGATGCGGCGATACCTGTCCAAGCAACGGAGATGACGTCTAAGTTTTCCTCTGTACAATACGCAGTAAGACATTCTTAAACGAAAGTTTTTCCCGATCCTCCTGGACCATCAATGAAAATCGCATTACACGTGTAAGATGGATTTTGGATGAGATTAATTATTTCAGAAATAATTTGATGTTGCTCTGGGTTAACGGCAGAAATCATGGAATCATAGTTTTAGGGGGAGGAGAGTCAGGCTTCGACCCTTGAAGATTCAGGTTGATTGGAAGCAATTCCGGAAGATCAATAATGATGATATTGAAATTCCATGAAGTCTTAATGTGTTTTCAATAGCAAAAAGCCGATCAACGTAGTCGACCGACCAACAAAATAAAGAGAGAGGAAGAAACGAAGTATCAAGCAAATTTGAAACAAAGTTGTCAAGAGAAAAGAACAAATAAGAATGCAATGTCCATAACAATACATGTTGTTAGCAATACGTGTGCGCAACGCTGCAGTTAATAAGTCATCAGGGTCAGTCAAACCGCCAGGATGCCTATCAAGAAGTGGTGAAGCGGAGTAGCCGAGAGATTGCGACGGAATGTGGGTGGTGAGTGACGAACGACAATGCGACCCAAACCTTCTTTGAGGTTGGTGGGAGGAAAGCCATACGAAAGAAAACGGAGATAGCCGAAAGAACGTGGTGGGAGGGGTGGCTGAGACCCTAGAGGGGGTATCTAGAGACGGGCAAGCAGGTAGCGGCCAGATGACCGCTCGAAACAGCTGAACTTTACTCGTCGATAAAAGTAAGAAAATTTGAGAAATCGAAAAAACAATTACAGCCTGCAAATCTACAGATCAGAAGCTTTCATTTAGAAAAAACCCCATGCAAATCGGTCCGGTGGTTCTCTCAAAGTTAATGTCCCAACATGCGGACTTTAGTCTGAATAAATGGGAGAAAATTTGAGCCCGGCTAAACTTCACTCGTCGATAAAAGTAAGACAATTTGAGAAAATCGAAAAAACGATCACAGCCTGCAAATCTACAGATCATAGGCTTTCATTTAAAACAAAAATCATGCAAATCGGTCCGGTGGTTCTCTCAAAGTTAACGTCCAAAGATTCGGACCTCCGTTTTAATGCATCGAAGAAAATTTGAGAAAATTATGGGAGAAAATTTGAGATAATCGAAAAAACGATCACAGCCTGCAAATCTGCAGCTCAGGGGCTTTCATTTAAAAAAAAGATCACGCAAATCGGTCCGGTGGTTCTCTCAAAGTTAATGCCCCAAGATTTGGAACTTTGCATTTTAATATATAGGATTATGGCAGCTTATAATGTGTTACAAATCTACCTGAATGGGGCTCTCTTTTTCTACGTAAGTTCATTCCGATCCCTACCTCTACTTTATCCCCTCAATCTTTACCCGAAAATAAAATAAGAAAATCTTATTATTTTATATTCTCCAGCCTTGTGAATGGATCACTGAACAATGAAAGAATTTTAACTCGTGAATACATTTTACCGAAGGTAAATGACGCTTAGAACACGATACCTAAATTAAAAACGCAAATAAGTAACTCAAGACCGAGAAATACGCAGTTCAAAAAGCGCAACAATTCCGAAAATTTAAAACCCCCCCGTTTCGCGCCAAACTGAATGATGTCATACGGTACTATAGTCAGAAGCGGGCACGGGTTTTTACGTAATCCATCAAATTTCTTTCTACTCCTCGTAAATGGAAAAAATTGGATTATCAGAACTATATCTTTAGAATCTAAGAATCGAATCTAATTCATGTTATCTGTTGTAAACTAGCAACAATTTCACACTGAAATACGTTTTATTTTGACAAATACCTATCAGTGGAAAATGAGAGGAGGGAGAGATTTGACTGCCGTAGTACATCACTTTCATCATTTTCCCGCCATTGCGGCGCGTTTGCAATCCCCTCGAGTCTTTGGACTGTTTAAAAACGGTTCATTATAGATGTTTCCTCATCACTTGAAAACACGATTTGTATACTACAAAAATTATACTGAAATTAACTCCTAATAAAGAGATTAACATTTTTCAATGCATAAATTCAAATTTCTCACATAATAAATAAAATTGTTATTCACTCGAGTGCACACTAAATTTTACCGTGATAGCTTTTGCAGTATGAAAATATGACAACTTCAGTATCGTATCTTCGGCTCAGCTATTGCACGTTGATTACACAGGGTGGGTAAGGAACACTCTTTTTAAGAGGCCTGCTAGAACTGTCATGGAGCGCAATTTGATTCGAGTATACTCTGGTTGTTCATAGGGGTGGGATATTCAAATATTTTGTAACCAACCCTGAATAAAAATGTATTTCTCTCGATGAATATGATCTTGTTTAAGAGTTAATTTCAGTAGTTTTTGTGACGCAAGCCGTATTCTACGTGAAATTTTGAGGAGAGATCATTCATCAGAATACAAAGGTCGTGCTTTGTCATTGTTGGTACAAAAAGCATTATTGTAACTACGACCAGAAAAATTCGTAGGACTAGTTTTAGAAAGTAAACACTGACGGCGTAAGTCCGCAACCAAGTATCTCGTTTGCGGTGTTTAAAAATCTCCGCTCCTATCTTATTTTTTTAAAGGAGAACAAATCGACATTATTCCTTGAAAATTTCGCAGAATTTTCTTGGCACTGAGAAGAAAAATCACGGCATAGTGTTTAAGAATTACCGTTGAGTAGTTTTTCATTTAAAAAATAAAGCATGACAGGGAGTCTGCGACGTCGCAAACCGAGATACGTAGTTGCGGACCTACACCTATCTACTATTATACTTTGATGAGGTATAAAAACGGTCAATTTTCATTCATAATTAGTTTGAAACTATAAGTTTTCCCATTTTTCCTTTAGTGTTTTTGGAAACCTGGGTTTGCCTCATTCGTCATAGAAGCATCGTGTGAAAAGCCACACGTATTTCCTCGGACAGCAGATGAAGCTCATCAATTGCACCAAGTAAGAATTTTAATATCCTCAAAAAAAAGCAAATAAATAAAATTATACTTTTCAGCGCCCTAATATATCTCCAACTGCAATGTCTGTCTTACAGAGTGCAACGTCAAATGTTTAGCTCATGCTTTTAATTTACTTTCTTTTGAGCCGTCGTATGAAATAAGTTTCAATCTTCGATTAAAATATGCAGTTCGATGTAGTAAAAAAATTGTACTATTCGTTAAGTTTTCTTGCTTAGGTGAAGAAATTCTCTGTGACATCATGACACATGAGTATAGGTTGAGATAATGATGTAATGCCTCTTGCGGCATCATTCCGTATTTTTAAATGGTCGGAGGCGTAATTTTACTACTTATGGCAGACTTTTTTTGGGTAATAGAGGAAGATATAGCTGATGATTCTAAAAACTAAAATTATTCCAAAATAATTAATTTGAAAGACATTTACATAGTTCAACCATTCATTAAACGTACTTTTCTCCTTGAAAAGAAAAATCTGTTCACGCGAGAGAGTTGTAATCTCTAACTTTTAAGTGTATTTTTCGAAGGAAATACTTTAATTCGATTCACCTTACTTAAACTGTCCTTGTAATTTCTCTGATTTTTTCTCGTAGTTTCACCGAGGCGCCTGGTACTACCTCATAACAAAGATGTTGGATCTACTAGATACTGTAAGTCTGAGTCTTTACTGATTTTTACTGTTAAGTATGGTTATATTTATATATGGGTTTTTATGGGTATTTATATATTATATATGGGAGGGTGAGGGGCTTCGTTGTTATTTCTACAACGTACATTCAAGTAAATCAGAGTGAATGATAGAGTTACAAATCCATATTCTGTTGTTTGCGACGAAGCAAAAACAACTTTTTAGCGTTTTTAAAAATAACTAATTTTCACTATTTTACACAACATTGCATTATTTTTTTGGACTATTCAAATATTTTTGCTCCTAAATTAAACTAAAATCAGTCCATGAAACCCGACATGAGAATCAATTTCGGGTTTCTACCATACTACTGCTTCAAATAATTTGTTTCCGTTGTTCCAACAGGTGTTTATGGTCGCTCATAAGAAAACCCCTGGCTTCCTTCATTTATACCACCATTCAACGATGCTGCTCGTAGTATTCTTTGGATTCAAATACGTTAGACGTGAGTTTACAATGATTTCTCTCTTCTTTCCTCTTCCCTTCGTCCCTCTCCCCCTTCTCCCCCTTCCTGCTCACCCTTTATCTCTCCCTATTTGCCTTTTCCCACCGAGTCTCTTTTTCACTACCTTCAAAAACCATCGTCATCTAAGGAATTCAAATCATAGTGCCAAATATCTCTGGATTATGGTACAATTGGAAAAACTATGCCACCTTGTGCAATAAGCAATAGGTATCTGTTTTCCTCCGCTCTCTCTCGTTCTTACTTTAATTATGTTCCTATGTTTACTCTTAATTGGACGTATTTCTATCAAACGGAACTACGTGCAATAAGACATGAGCCCTGAGACCCATAGGAATACATGCATAACAGGGCGCACGTCATAATGCACATAGTTCCGTTTGACAGGAATACGTCCAATTAACCCTTCGAGTCAACGAATGTAATAAAACGGCTAAGCTAACCGCGTGTAAGAAAACAAATTCTAAAAAAATTGACAGCAGTCCGAGACTCATCTCATCAATTCTTTATTTTTTAAGCGAGCAGAAATATGATTCGTCCGTTTTGCCACGCACATCTCTAAATTCTTCTTCGTTTCTTTTGTTCGCAGCAATTCACACTGTGTTCCCAAGTATAACGAATAATTTGGCTCATGTATTCATGTACACCTACTACCTTATCTGCCTTTTCAATCCTGGATTTGGCCAGCGGTATAAAGGCATAAAAATGGCCATCACTGGATTCCAAATTGTAAGTGTTTTACTATTCAATTTTTCACAAATCTTGTCGTAACGCATTAATCCCGTTATCCGACTTGCTTACTTTTGATGAATGTTAGTAAAAAAAAAGCCGCAAATATATGATGAAATACCATTTATTTCAAGAGATAATTTTTCTGAGGATATATTTTGCGCAAAAAAGTTCATTGAAGCTCATTCTCTCTACGATACTTGAGTTCAAGGCTCGGTTTTTGTCATAAGCTCCATTATTCTTTGAAAATGTGTTTTCCTCAGAATCACAAAAATACCACTAAAGTATTTTATCTGTGATTCCACGAAACCCTTATTAAATTACAGTAATGTGTACATTCAAGTAAATCGGGGTCAATGATAGAGTTGCAAAGTCATGTATTGTAGTTTGCGACGATGCAAAAACAACATTCTACTGTTTTTAAAGATATCTAATCATTACTATTTCACACAAACTTGCATTATTTTCTTGGACATTTCAATAATTTTCTTTCTAAATTTAATGTAGAAATAATGAAACTTTTAAAATAATTGAATGAAGGTATGATGAGGTGAGGTGATGTGAGGTAATGAAGGATTAATAATTTCAATGAAGGCTTTGATTCGAACACGTTTTTTATGTAGTTTGTAGTTGTATGATTTTAAGAATATTAGTAAATCAGTGTGCCTTCTGCAAAGATGCCTTTCTCCCATCTTTTTCGGGATCTTTATTTTTCAATTATCTCAAAAAGGCATTTCTTCGATAAACTTGATAATTGAAATGCATAATGATATCACCGCAAAAGAGTATTTAAAGCCTATGCACATACCATAATTCTCTAAGTTTTTAGAAAATTGGAATGTTCCGCACTTAAAGTGCAAACTTTTCTATAGGTAATTCCTCTAACTAATGTTTATACCCCCGTGAACTTTACCAGGCTGTATGACGTGTTTTGATTGTTCATTTTCATTTTTTTCAGGCCCAATTCATTGGTATCATAATTCACTGCGTGGCCTATAATTTCTTGTGCCCTGTACAAAAGATCATAGTCTGCGTGCTGTTCTTCCAAAACTCCGTGTTTCTTGTTTTATTCTCAAACTTTTTCATCAAATCAGATCTCACCAGCGATAAGAAGACAAAGCCTGAAATCGCCGCTTCCAAGAAAAAAGTTTCATAGGACAGTACGTCACTTGGACTGGCTATTGTTTGTAAAAGTTCCTTTTTAAAACCTTTAGTCTGTAGTTTTGAGAGAATTGTTCAGAAGCTGCTCTTTTCAGGGTTACTAAGGATAATTTAACAAAATGGTTACTAGCTATAGAAAATGAAATAGTGTCTCCCTGTTCCAAGAATGAGGATTTCGGTTCTCATTCTCGAGATGGCAAAAAAATGACCTCGATGGTACGAAGAGGCTGCTTCAGATTCGGACCAGACTCTATCTGAGCCCTTAAAATTGTATGAAATTCTGTGATAACACATTTTTTAAGTAATACATACGCTTAAGGGCTAACATAATTTAAAAGTACTAAAGCAAATCCCGAGGACTTGTATAATCTGAGAGATGTACAAATCCGCAGGTAATTCAGAGAAAAAATAAAGGTAATAATAAAATCGATGGAAAAATCGGGGGGCAGGGGTGTATTATGTTGCTATTCTGTCGAAAAGCCAAGAACTCATGAAGCATAAGCGCATGTCTATATGCATAATGTAATCTTTTTGGATATTAGAGATGAGGTGATTTTATGTGGTATGTGCCATCATTTCAGGTTAAAGTCCAGTTTTTAAGTATTAGTGCAAGCTTCTCTGATTTATTTAATGTAAATATATTTTGATTTTTAAAGTATTAAAAGTTTGGAGTGTGAATCAGAGGAACTTACATTTTATTCTCGATCGTGCGTTGGCTGACCTCTTTTATGAGGCCCGCACTCATTATTCTATCGACTCATCCCATATGTGAAGGTATGGAAGATATATGACATCATTCATTCGTAATATTCACCAGAATGCATAAAATAATAATTATTCTAAATGACGTGCACGATTGAGAAATTTACTTAGTTCCTGAGATTTTTCTAAGTCTAACTTTGTGTATATAATTTGAAAATTTTAAATGTCTTTCTTTTGAAATGTAATCAAACGTAGAAAAGACAAAGAAAAAAAATATACTCAAAAATTTCAAATGCAATTCGCCACATCTTTTCCTTTTTCTCAGTTTTCCTCCTTTACGACCTTTCTTAGCAAGGTAATTCAATGATAAGGAACAAAATTACGTTCCACTTTAGCAGATTAAACCGACAAAAAATGTCTGTGTTTTCTCCTCCTAATTCATTCCTTTTCCGCTTTCCTCTATACACACACTATACGACTCAAATAATCTGAACTAATTTGATGGTCGGCCGACGATGTGGAGATCACTATCATGAGCTCAATTGACACTCTGCATTCGTAAAACGTTATAAAGTAATAAATAATGAAGTAAAGTAAGTTGGGAGATACGGGTGCATATTATTACGAGAGCAAACAAGTGGAGCATGAAAAGTAGTTGTAAGTTCAAAAATGGATTTGTCCTGCCCGTTGAGAGAAAATACGAAAAACCGATTGAAAACAGTCCTACCAAAAACTACAAACTTTAAACTCACATACAAACTACCTCTAAACTAAAAACTCAGATAATCCTTAGTACAGAAACCCCGTTGTTCGGATGATCCAAGATCTATTGTATTACATTCCGTCCTCACTGAAGAACAACGAAAATCTAATAGAAACCAAAATCACTTACCTAGGACTTAAAGTAAATAAATTATTTGATACTTTTGGTCTGTGTATTTACAATGCTTCAAACTTTTGCATTCGTTGAAGATTTAGTCTTGTGATTTTGTTAAAACGAAGCTTATGTAAAAAAAGAAGGCCTTGAATTATGATTCTAATCATTGACACGACCGTGAAAATTCACATTAACATGTACCTACGTGAAAATTCGTACATTGGTTTTAATAAGTGTCAGGGGAAAAGTGAAGACAGTAGAAATAAGTGAGCAAATAGTAAAAAAACGTTGATTTTATTGAGAGTTTTCATGGATCAAAATTAATAATGGCCACTAAAAATGTCATGTTTTACAAAATACTGTCACCAAAAAGAATTATTGGCTTTTTGCTCGGTTATTTCTCTATTTGTTAATCACATTGTGTCCATCCGAACTTTTCTCCCACCATAAAAACCATCACCTCATGCATCATAGAAAAACCAACTAAATCTCGATTGTTATGCATTTTAATCTTCATAGATTTTGGTGTAGGCGGGGATGGTCAACTCTGCAGGGCAGAAAGTATTTAAATGCGTTCTCTATGGATATTTTCCTTGGAAAAAGGGGGGGAGGAGGTTTGAGCGCAGGAAAACTATTTCCTTCAATTTTAAAAATATAACTTCCAAAGTTTGGTCAAATTAAGGTGAAATGAAGGGAACTATTGTTGAGTGTTGCAACTTGCGCACTATTTTTTCCTTCAAATTCTGTAAGAAAAAATTTACTCACAAATACAATGAAAAAGCTGATTGATTTTCAAAAGGCAACATCAACTTTATACACGCGATTGATACAAACGCACAGTTCTTCGTTCCCCAGACAAAGGAACGTAATTCCATTCCTACGTTATAAAATTGACTTGAACAATTCAATACTCTTCAAGAGAGCGACTGCGCTATTTCCGCTCAAAATTTTTCTAAGTTTTAGAGTGATCAGAGGATAACTCAGTACAATTTTTAGTTGAATTGACCAACAGTCTCCCCATGGAAATTCAATTTGCTGGTGAGAATTTTGCAATTTTGAATCGTAGTTACATTCCTTTGTCTGGGGATCGGTGAATTTTTCAAAATATTTACACAAACATTTTTTATTATGATGAGCCACTGGATGCGTTTTGACGAGCCTTCAAAAAGAGCGGAATGGATGTCCATATGTCGTTTGCAACAATTTTCGGCTCCTCGAAAGCGGCATAAAGCCCTCCATCGTTGTACTTCGATATCCTGACGAGATTTTTGAATTTCCGATTGATTCTAAAATCAGGAGAATAAACCAGTTCGTAGGGGAATCGGGCGCAAGCCGTTGGCACTTTCACCGGAGCTCTGGAGGAATAAGAGACAGAGAGATATAAAAAACAATGAATTAGTATATCACATCGTATACGTATGTAAAATTTCGCTGATGAAAAAAGTATCGGGCCTTAGTAGGTGCTCTCATCAGTTTTGCAGCACTATGAATCTGAAATTGAAGACATTTTTCCAGCACTTTGAGATTTCCTGAAAAGGTGAATGGTGGAAAAACTCAAGACCATTTTTGAATTTAGCGGCAATAGTACACGGCCATGTGAGAATGTCAAGCCTGAGAACTTTTCCCTCTCATTCTGATAGTGCAATTTCTCTGCCCTTCATCGTTTACCTGCAACTTAATCCGTATTTAATCAAAATGTAAATCTTATCCGACTGAAGACTATTAACCGTTCAAAAGACAGGGTAGAAATTTTTTACTGGTGCATCTGATGGGTATAGGACCCATACGTAATGTTTGCCACTGAAACCGACGGCAACTCAAAAACCTATACCCTTTCCCACCATCTCCAAAATACAGTTAGAGTTTGCTAGAATGAACTGTCGAAGGATCGGGAAAAATTGTGTCCTAAGCGGCAGTTTGAGTGAACGGTGGCAAGTCATTTTTCCTAAAACATTTTTTCCTACTGCAATTTTTCCTAATACTTTTTTCCTACTCGTTTTTTGTTCCATCACAGTTACTCCTACGAGTGAGATGTCCTACTGAGAAATTGTTTACGAAACTGTCCGAAAATTTCACTAAATTCTGTTTGTGCTGCCGATAAAATTCGGTGAAATTTTCGAACAGAGTCAACTGACGATTTCCTGTGAAAAATAAAATGGCGGCGGAAATCTTGAAACGCTTGTGATATTTCGGCCGGTAGGTGACAATATGTACTTGTATACATATAGTCTGATAAGCGTCGTTCGATTTAGTAAACTCTTACTGTACTTTATAATAGTTTCAATTATTCTCTTAGACATATTCCTGCTAAATCTACGGGTCGGTTTTGGCTCTGTTTGTTTACTATTCAATTTTTGAGTTAAATTCGTGCAAGACCCAAAGCATATGAAATTAGACCCAAAATCTGAGAGAAAGGGGTAGGGACAGAAAGAGAGAGGAGGAGAGGGGGAAAAAGGGAGGGAGCGAGAGAGGAAGAAAATAACGAGAATAAAAGGTATAAAACTCACGCATCAAATTTAAGTTTTATGTAGTCGTTCGATAAATATTCGCTGTATAGTCTCACTGCCGTTAAAATCGAATCTGTCGTCCAGTATATCATAACATTGTCCAGAAGGGCATCGAGAGTAAATTTCTTAGTAAGGCCTCCGTCCGGTAATTTTCTGTTGGCTGGGTTTGTTAGACTCGAGAATTTATCCATCAAGTATGCAGCTAGACCAATGGGAGAGTCAAGCAGAGCTGTTCCTGTAATTTATAGATAATAAATTATGTCATTAAAAATAGTGAATACAAAGTGGTATGCTTTAAAAAAATGCCTCTTATTTAAACTCTCAATCTTTTTTTACGGAGCCTCAAAATTTAGTTATTTTGCTGGATCTGGGCATCCCATGGGTCATTTGCTTACATTTAAAAAGAATTTAGAAAAGAAGTTACATGTAAATTGTGTTGAGTTTCTAAATTTTATGTCCTATTTTAATTTTTTGGGAGGAGATTAGCCAACAGTTTTACATAAAATTTTATAGAAATAACCCTTGCACAAGCAAGAAAAATTGCAACAATTTTCCAGTGGGAATGCTGGTTATTTTTCTTCCATGGAATTAAAATAGGCTTGGAATAATTTTATATTTCAGAGATGAGTGCTTTTCAAAAGATGCGATTCATTTATGGACGACCACTTAGTAGCACTGCGAGGGACATGGTACGTTTCTGAAAATATCACTTCAATTTGGAGGGTATGGATTCGATCGACACGAATAAATCAAAAAATAAAAACGTAAACCAATAGACGTGAATCGATAGACAAACCCGTGAATTGGTTGACAACCCCGCAAATCGATCGACAAACCCGTGGATCGATCGACAAATTATGATCGATTCAGTGTTTGTCGATCGACTCACGTTTTATTTTTCGATCGATTCATGTCAATCGAATCGAAACTGTTTTTTCAATAATTTGTCGATAGATACGGTGTCGATCGGGTCACGTCAATCGATTCACGTTTTTATTTTCCGATCGATTATTGTCGATCGAATCCATACTCTCCCTTCAACATTGCTACCAAAAAAATTAAGAGGGAATTCATTTACCGATGGTGTCAGGCTTCGTTGCCTGAAGGTGCAAATATCCAGTTTCTGTCCACAACCAGTTGGCGTAGTCGCGTGAAGGATACAGCCGATGCTCATCCTCCTTGGCCACCGCAAAACCAGGGATGAAGCTTCCGATCCATACGTGCACCGCGGTCCAAGCCACCGGTACAGGCGCCAGATGCACATCCATACACATCGTTGAGTGGAAGCCTAACACACTAAAAAAAAAAGTTGGGAGATTAGTATAGAAGCCAATATTTCCTTCGTCTTTACCTAGTTGGATTACTGAGACATATCCAGTTACTGAATATATATGTACAACAATTTCACGAAGCATACTGTTGTGCTTTTTTTCACGGTAAGTAAAATTTATGATAACATGAGCCATAATAATGAAAAAGAAACAATTAAATAGTTGAAACATTCCGTTCTAATGATCGGAAAATGGATCAAAAACAAAATAAATTTAATCATTTCCAGGTTTGAATTCCAAAATTAAATCCTGGTCCTCCAGGTTGGGGGTTGGGGCATCGGGCTGACTGTCGGCTGAGGGCCGATCCTCGGAAAAAACACACAATGTCAAAAAACTTAACCAAGCTGTATGTATATTCAGATTTGCAATTTTTAATTTATGAGCCTTTATTAGCATGTTGGCCATTTTTTACCATTCATCTTTTGCATCACAATGCGCTGTATCATCTTGCTGAAACGTTTGTGTTGATCCTAGGACTTACACACAGATTTGTGATTCTGATAATGTAGAATTTAGTCAGGAATTCTCGGGAATTGCCCGTGTCCCCATCAAGATTCTCATAGAGGGGCCACTAATGGTTACCACTGCCGTGCTAAGGAAGAACTCCGTATGAACCATCAGGCCAAAGTTCCTTTGAAAAGTCTCGACTATTCAAGAAAATTCTTGAATATTCCTCCCCTGATTTTTCAGATGATTTTGTTAGTGATTTTATCTATAAAGTCTGAAAAGTTCAAGGAAAAACATTCATAACTTTCTACAAAAATAAATATTTTCTACGAGGAAAAACAACAATCAAATGCTCATACGTCGTATTTACTTAGCATGGCAGACCAGTCAAAGATTACTAAGGACTCCAGATATCGCATTGAAATAAAAAACGGCCCCCCAGTCCCCTGCAGTGCTCCAGGGTAGGCAACCTGTTTAACGATATGCCATACTTCGAGCTAACGAATATACTGCTTGCCGTGTGTTTGACCGGTTTCGCCGTGCTGTGCTAAGTTTGGTTGAAGATTCACTGTATTAAATTTTCTTATGTTTTAAATCGTTAAAAAATGCCGAAAAAAAAAAAGAAAGAAAGAAAGAAAAAAAAAATTAATGTTAATATCTCTGCTCAATTTTCTGAGTCCATTTACCATGGCTAGTGACTAAAATGAACAATTTTCGGAATTTGCCGTTCATAATCTGCACATTCAAAGTGTTCGAAGTGCAATTTCCCATGCTTTTCCATTACGAGTGGGCTAAAGTATGGCATACCGCTACACAGGTTGCCTACCCTGGCGCTGCAGGCGACTGGGGGGCCGCTTCTTTCCTACGGCAAGTATACGGCGTGCGGTATCTGGAGTCCTTAGTAATCTTTGAGACCAGTGGTATACCTACTTTTCAGGATATGCGATGGCCATATCTCGACCTATCTTGAAACCCCAGTTTCCGCCGGAAACATAGAACTTCTCATGTCCTAGTTTGTTCATAAGCTTCTTGAAGATGACGCCGATCTGTGCAGTGGCCAGTCCCGGAATCGCTGCCGCCTCCGAATACCCGAATCCGGGCAGAGATGGTGCGACGACTTCGAAGACATAGTCTACATTTTTCCGTGGGGTGATTAATTGCGGGATCAGCTCGTAGAACTCTCTGATGGATCCCGGCCACCCGTGGATCAACAGGATCGGGATGACTTTCAAGTTCTTCGCACTCGCAGTGGGCTTGGCATGGACGAAGTGGATGTCCAAACCTGAACAATATAAATACTAGTATGAATATTGATAGAGGTTTATTATTTTTTTAAAGGCAATATTACTCCAGTTTGCTGACTTTTGATAAAAATTCACCGAGCAGTCACATAGAATGGTGAAATGTAATTTACCTTGCCCCTCTTTGGGGCTGAAAATTTATAGATTAAGAACTATTTCAAAGTAAGGGTGTGTTTGTAATCAATATTCAGGAAAAAAATTGATTTGCTGAATTTAAATAAAAAAGAAAATTCCTAAAGAAGCGGTATGTTAAATTGGAGTTACTTTAACGCTCATCTGGTCACAATATTTCATCAACATACGACGGATGTGATATAAACAGTTATAAGACATACAAATTATAAACATACACATACGTACTTTGTAAGTAACATAACAGACCAAGGTGATTTCAGTACCTCCAGTGTGCGGTCAGTGCAGTGAATTTTCTTCTTGTGATTAAAAAATTAAATTATTGGAATGGCTATATACTAAATCCACAATTTTTAGAGTGTTACTTGGTTTATATGTATAAATTAATTACTGGACTAAAATGTATTTTTCATTGGCCTTTGAAATTAGCGCTCAATGCATAGCATATCCACACTGAAAAAAATTCTTAAACCTGCCACCGAGAAATACTTTTTCTTTAATCAAGAATGGGACTGCTAGACCCAAACATTACTTCTCGTTTCTAGAGACACTAAACTTCAATCAAGATGAAAATAAAACCTTTCAACTCCATTTCGAGAATCATCACTCTCGACCGAAACACTTTTTTCAATGTATTGCTTTTGTGCAGACTTAATGTTAAGCGTTTAAAATAAAAAATAATAACTGAGACAATACTAACCTGAAACTATAGTTTTAAAATGCGGAAGACTGTTTAAAAATTTAAGGCGAGCGCTCCAATCATAGTTGTTCAGCCAGTAGGATCTTACCTTCTTTAGGTAATCAATATTGAACCCGTACTCAAAACTGACTCCTTTTAACGGTGCATGCGGAAACTTGGTGTGATTTAATCGAAATTTGAGGTGTTCTATGACCTAACAGTAGCATGTTTGAAAAAAAAGAAATAAAAAGAAATTAAGCTTAAAAAATAGGGTAAATCATACACTTCATAATACTAGCACGTTATAATAAGTAATATGGCTTTGTCATAGATTTGTATTTTTATGCGCGTCGCATAAGAGAAGAACAACTGAACAAGGTTAGTTGCCACGTGGAATAGCGTCTTTTGATCGAATATAAAATTACAACTCTTTAAATCTAATAAACCTCAGCACTATCACTTTTTTGAAGGCGCATATGTTTGGAGACTTAAACGCTGGAGTAGAAAAGTAGACTAGTGCATCAGAACACCGTTACACCATCATTACACCGTCGGTAGTTACCAGGTACAAACTTGATAAAAAAATTATCTTCTCTACTCAATCTTTTTATCCTCTTAACCCCCCCCCCCCTCGCGAGGACCCCCCTCCTCGTCCCCGTGTCTCATTTGCCATCCCGAGTAGCACAATGCAAAGAAAACATAATAATTTCGCATGAATTGGACTGCATTTGGCAATTTGAACCTATAAATTCTGGCTAATCTGAAAAAAAAAAAAAAAAACACATATGGGCATTGGGAAACTGATGGCCCATACGTTTTTTTGAAACTGGGCCGGAATTTATAGGTCCAAATTGCGAAATGTAGTCCATTTAATACGATCACATAAACGCAATCATAGACTCCACCATGTTTTATCACACGAAGGGGATTTCCATTTGAGAGTTGAAAGCCCCAGAGGGTGGGGTGGGAAGGGTGAACCCTCAAAAAATTTGTCCACCTCCATTTGAAAAAGTTTCGTCCAAACTGTATGCCAATATCTGCAAAGCTTCGAGATATTGACAAGTATCCATACTTTTTTTCCGCTAAGGTGTATAAAGTTTTCATCAAGTCTAGTTCTATTTAAGAATCAACTTAAAATCTACTCTGAAAACTTTTTTGTGAACTGAGGTTAACGTTCTCAAATGAGTGGTGGAAGTGGTCAAACATTAAAATAAAATGAAATCTATGAAAATGACCTTCGGGAGGATATCGGAAAATGGTGTTGGAGAGGGTCGAGAGTTCATCCCCTCCCGGTTTCGAATCCAATCGATTCGCGAGTACTTACGGCTGGGGATGTGGTAATAGTGAAAGGACGTATTCCATCGTCTTTCAAAGATTCTGGTTGGCGAGCTCCCCAGTTCACGTCCTCTGGAAGAGTGGCTGCAATCTCTTCAGGGTAGGCTGCATACCACAGTTGGGTGAGAACAACATAGCCACTGATTGCGAGGACGACTCCAGTTATTGCTTTGCAAAACATCCTGTGAAAAATTTGAGAACATAAGAGATCTGAAATATTGTGTTTCATTTTGCGATGCTCAAAGAAATTCCAAATCACCTCGTCTGGGGGTTCACTTAAATTTTTCTGATTTATTTGTTTCAGCCTTGAAGATACGAGTATTAAGCGGCGCGTGGCGTGTCAACGAAAAAATCTAATGTGGTTCTATAAACTAAATCGCGGAAAAAAAATGTGTCACCTAAGAATGTATTTGAAAGATTATAATTCATCTTAAAAATCAGTATCAATTATGCATTGAAGAGCTTCAAAGAAATCAAACTAAAAGGTTCCCTTGGAAATTATAAAAGGATAATATTAAATGAACCAAGAAAAGTCCCCCATATATTTTTGACTCATTGCTAATCTAAGAAAAAATTCATTTCGGGGAGTGGATTTAAGTTTGGATTTTGAGCCACCCTGTATAGATAAACCAGAATCAGATCCAAAAAGAGAGGAGGTACGTGGTATTCAGGAGTTGATCAGGGTTCTGAATTCTGATGAGGCACCACATTCTTCTGATTAATTGAGGAATCATTAAGTTCCACAAAAGCGAAAATATCGTGCAGGGAGAGGTCTGTAAATTTAGGCTTATTTTTGCTTTACACTCCTTTTAAGGTTGTATAAACTGCTGCGCCGCAAGCAGTCTACGCGAATTACGACGCTGCAGAATAATGACAAGGAAAAGCTGATGAAAGAATTTGGGTGGATCCTCAAGGACAAGAAAACGAATTCCGAAATTGGAGGAATTTTCGGAGGTCGCCCACGTTATAAACGAAAAATGTCCTAAAATAACTCACTAAATACAGGGAGAAAGTTAGGGGAGCGCGGTTGGGAGATAGAGAAAGAGGAAAGTGAGAGGAGAAAATGATGAAAAGAAAATGCTCAATTGTAGGTACGCCAATTAAGTAACGCTTTGTTTTCCTTCTCCCTGAGATTGGCGTTCTATGATGAATTTAATTTAGATAAAATCGTCCACCCTGCAGTGGTTTTTCATCTTAAATTTTCGAAAATCGACGGTTTCAGCGTTACGTATAGCAGCCTTGATCTTTCCCTTCCCTTCCTGTAACGCTGAGGCAGACCCATGGGAATGTTCCGTGTTTTACGGCCCTAAAGTCGTAGTAGCAAATCATCTCAACTGACTATCTCACCGGAGTAATAAGAATTTATTTTTTATTTAACAATGAAGGGCCTTTCAAAATTGATGAAGAAATAGGAGATTACCAAGAATATAGAGAATGATTGCGGGTCGTAAGTGAAGAAAATCCATTTCCGGCCCCAATGTAAAGTTGCGCGAATGACATATCATGTGATAGTTGAATATCTCGTATAGATCAGCAAAAAATTACAATATCTGTATGGACAGAAAGTTGGTGATTAACCTGCAGTTTAAGCAAGACTTGTCGATTGTGAGCTACGAAGTGTTAACATTGGTTGACGTATTGTCGTATTCTTTTTTTACAGAGATTTTACAGTTCATCGGGAAATTGTGTGGTTGACGAATTCTTTTTTAAAGAGATGTTTCAGTTCATCGGGAAATGGTGATTTTATTTACTTGTGGTACTAAAGCGTTTTGAAAAAAGGCTCGAAATACGCGAATCAAAGATTTTCCTGGCACGCAAAATTCATGAGAATATGCAGGGAAGGACAGAAAGTGAAACAACATTTAGTGAGCCAGATTTTTTCCGAATGAAAAACCGCCTTTGACCTTATCCAGTGATTTAAGAGAGAATTCGGCAATTAATGAAAAACGTGAGACTACATACGTCATTATTGCAAATGAAATTAATCAACCGTTCAAATTGTTGATGTTTTTTTTTTTTAAAGTAAGCGTTTTTGGAGACATTTCAGCGCAAATAACACCAAAAACTAACGATTGCCAAAAGTAAGTAACGCTAGTTCGTGCACAGATATTGGTCATTTATACTTCTAGATTAGGCGAATTTTATGCAAATATCAGACAGTTTACCATTGTTCACCTCTCAACTGGGTGATTGATAAAAAGATTTAACTTTCTGTGAAGAAAGATTAGCTTGAAATAGAGATTCGTAAGAGTGCGAAATAATTAGATTCAACCATACTCTCTAAGGAATCTATTCCTATAGTTTCAAATACCGGTGTTGAGCAAGGAAATATTTATATAGAGATTGAAGAAGGTAATTAATATCGAGAGAGGATTTAATTGTCCGAACTCGTGGCTCTGAGAAAAATTGTTACTCAAATTTATCGACAAAAACTGTTCATCCAGGTTATTCAGAGGTGTCACTATCATTTCCTTCAGGCGATTTGCACATTGTCACTTTCCAAAATGAAGAGGGTTGAGTTCCGCCAATCATTCATTGAAAAAAAAAGAAAAAGAAAAAAAATCATTTTTCAAATGAAAGATGATCCACAAGCGCAAAAGTGTGACGAGTAATTTCACAACTGTAACCCCCCCCCCTCCCCCCTCCTCAACGTTATAGTTACATTTAGAAACAAAGTCTGGCCATTTACATGACAGATGGCTTAAAATATTGAAATCGCTTGCATAACTGATGTCAGGGTCATAGAGGTGAGCAGGAGGATCGTCGTGGTGAGGGGTACAATGGGCCTGTTGCATGCAAGAGATACAGCCGCGCGAATAGAGTTTTCAGAGGTTAAATGACACGAAAATTACGATGGTCACATTAAAAAAGTCTGAAATACACTCCTTACTGCGTGATTTGTGTTGTTAGGAACGCGCTTTTTCAAATTTCCCGCGCCTGGGGGCAGTTTTCTAATCACCGGAAACGAGCAAACGGCGGGCTCGGTGATTTCCGGAAGATGCCGAGTCGTTGTTGTTGTTGTTATTTATTCCTTCAGTTTGTTTACAAACCCAACGTGATCTCCTACAGTGGTCCATATACGCTTTATGCGGTAACCAAATCGATCAACTTTTAAATATCCAACGCAATCCTTCTACATTTCATTTCACGATGTCACGAGCTCCGATTTTTAGGTTATGTTGTCAGTTTTAGTTGACCGGAAATAGCCGCGAGTTGCCGTTAATTGTTTCCGTTAGAAAACTGCCCCCAGACGCGGGAAATTTGAAAAAGCGCGTTCCTAACAACACAAATTGCGCAGTAAGGAGTGTATTTCAGACTTTTTTAATGTGACCATCGTAATTTTCGTGTCATTTAACCTCTAAAAAGTCTATTCGCACGGCTGTATCTCTTGCATGCAACAGGCCCATTATACATGTACAAGATCATGACATGAAAAAGTATCGGATCGTATTTATGGACGGTCCCTTTTTCAGATATGTCCATAGGTAAATAAGTTAGCAAATTGATTTAGGAACAATATAGCTAAAGTTTGCAATAAGATCTACTATTACTTGGTTAATTTATAAAAGCACTTATCGCAGGTATAAGAAAACTATTGACACATGTGGTTTCTAAAATGAGGCAGAATTATAGTAGTTTTTCATTACAAAATTTTGAAGTATCCACTGAAATCGCGGAAGAAGAAAATTCAGGGTTTTGAGTCGTTAAAAACAGGTTATACCGTTCGCCATCGAGAGGTTAGTGGACAAAGCTCTGATGGTTGTAAAAAAAAACTAACAGCTCTGTGCCTGAGCCCGACGTAAATGATTTGAGCCCGAAATGGGTGATACAGTTCTGCATGGCCAGCATGTTATGTTTTTGTTTCAATCAAAGAGCATTACCCCAATTTGATCCAATAAAACATTTTAAAACTTTAAAACATTTAAAGCTTGTCGCTTGTAGCTTGCAGCTTGTTGGAAAACTTTGTAAAAAAATAAAACTTACCTTCACACCGGCGAAAAACGTGCGGATAAAATAAGAGGAAGAGAAAGCACGCGAAGGGAAAAGCACTTATGAATAAAAGAAATATTAAAAATGAAAAGAAAAAAATTTAATTTTGCGCGCCACCGGGTGTTGATGGAGTTAGATGAGGTGTAGGTGTAAGCCCGTGCAAGAGCCTACTGACTCCAGTGATTGCAGATCGTCAAGCGACGACGCCCAAACTTGAGACCATCGCGCCGGCAAGCCGGCTTCAATTTTTTGTCGCACCGGCTTAATGTAAATAAAAACTGCGCAGGAATTGTAATTACCTGTAGATAACGAGGTCAATGTGAGAGGAAGGAGATGACCATGGTGACTGGTGAAGAATCACGCTGTTTTTTGACATCACAACAATAGCGAGTTGTAAGCAAAACATTCTCAGTAATTGTTCTCTGTCATAACAATATACTCAAACATTTTAATTTAAGGTCTGAGAAAGCTTGAAATCGTGTGGACACCGCTTTCTTCAATTTCTATTAATCTATACTTTTTGCAAAGAGAAAAGCATGTCTAAAAGAATTGAGGGGTCGGAGGACAAGGCACATAAGTGCAGTTTTTCAAAAAAGTGAGATTTTAATGATTTCAAGTAAAACGAATCTTAATGCACATTCTGTGAAACAATCGCTCCCGGATTTCAATCTTTATAAGCATCAAAAAATCAGTTCGGACTTTCTTTACGTCATAAGGATCCATGTAATTTCGAAACTCCAAACATTTATTTCTCGAAATAGCTAAAACTGTACTTGTGCGCTTTGTCCTCCAAACCCCTCAATTGTAACTTTCACATTTATTGCAATTTTTGTTAATGATTTTAATCCCATCCTTTATTTCTGGTCCAAGTTAAAATGTTACCGCATTCATACATATATATAGGTACGTATTGATTTTTGGTGAAAATTTGCCTTATAACGAATCGATTGTCTTACATACATTTAAATGGAAGAAAAGCAGTGTTGCCAACTTTCAAGAGTCACCGCTGTCCACGGTTCATCGCGTAAAATTCGTGGGTGATTTTTCTCGCCTTGCGTTCAAGTCTCCGGGCGATATCAACCGCTAGGAAGCATTTTTACCCCCTCAAATCTTTCGTCTTGCACCTGCTTTAAAGGAATAAACCTAGTATTTCTAACTCATATTGATGGCCAAAGTTCAAAACCACATATCTCCGTCAGCGCCGTTGTAGAGTTTCCCATCATACTTTATTTTTTGTCCGGAAAAATAGGCGACGTAATTTTTGGTAACTACCTTAATTTTTCCTCACTGTCATTGGAAGAATGGTCTGGATATATTTCGAGCTATAGAGTTGACTTGTTTCTCTCCGACCAAAAAAGAAAGAAAGAAAAAAAAATGGGAGCGGAATTTTTGAAACAACGCATTGGAGATATGTGCGCGTTACGCACTTTAGCTATATGGAAAGCAAAGCGGAGGCTCACTTTAAATAAGTATCCTTCTTAGTATCGGCACACAGTATTTACTAATGCTGAAAAAGAATGTATGCTCGTCTTTGACAAGGTTTATCTTTCGTGAAAATATTTAAATCTAAAAATGCCCATTTTAAGTCCCTGAGAATAACGACATGGGAACGGATACCGATATGAAAGGGATAGTACGTCGACCAACAACGAAGAAGCAACTCCCAATTATTTTCATATGACACTCTAATACCTTCCCTCCTCTCTCCGGATGAAACCTTGGGTAGGCGCTCCACCGCATCATACACAAAAAATATAAAACTGAAAAGTTGCAACACAGGAAGATTGAAAAGAATCCCGAATCCTGTGTTGCGTCTCTGATGGATCGGAACCCCAGTTGGGTCGAGCAGCATTCTCTCGAAGGAAAAACGAAGCAGTAATAAAAAAATCTCACTTTTATGAGAATTTTCTTTTTTATCATTGATTAAATCCACGATGTCAAATCTACAATTGTTTCTCTCTAAACGCGGCGTGCGTTTCATTCTCGATTTTTTTGGCTATAATGAAAATAAGTTGACACTCCTTTTTGCTTGTCTGTACGAGGAAAGAAGAAAGCCTAATCAAACTCAATCCAACGCCAACAGCGCCGGCGGAACGTAGCAGTTAATCTTACGTGATCGATAATTTCAGTACTAAAATACGACCAGCATCACTTGCCTTTGCGCTTCTTTGTTTTATTGTGTAGTTAGTAGACGAAAACTATTGTTTTGTTCAAAGGACCTGTAATGAGTCAAGTCTGTGCACCCTCATTTTCCTTCAAGTGTTGAAGAGTGGAATTTAGTGGATTTATACTTAGAGGAACACGTAGCTCAACAGCCAACAAGAAGGTAAGCTGATTGTTGTTGCTCATAATAATATATACTGAGTCCCTGAGCGCAGAACGACAAAATTTCCCGCCATTTCCAGCATACTGAGGAAGGGTTTCTATTTATCTCTGATCAGGAGGCAGCTGTGAATCTCATCTCAGTTTTGCCTCTCACCAACGAAGTTAGCCTTTAATCAAAAAAATAATTTTCTTCTCGGAAAGTTGATGCAGTATAGTAAGTTACATATTAGTAGTACGAATTTATGATAAAAGGAACTATGTGCATGGGATTTGAGTGCCACATAATTCCTTTTAGCATAAATTGTGCAATAGAAATAGGATTGTCGTGTTTCGGTCCACGGTCCCGACAACAGTGTCTGTAACATCGCCTCAATGCAACTATTGCTGCGCAGGAGATACATGTGTTGCATATAGAGTAAAATGAAGGCGTTTGACTTTCCTCGTCATCTCATTGAGAGTTTGCATCTGTCACCATATCTTATCGTCTTCAAGAATTGAAAATCAAGCTTTCACGCCATTTAATCACAAGAAGTCCACACTTAGAATTAAAGCCAGAACATAATCGTAGGAAGGAACCAACTTGATAGGAAATAGGTGCAAACTATTATTGATCGAATTTTGACACCACGCCCTCAAGCGTGCTACCTTTGAATTTGAAATGTAGTATTTTAAAAATGAGTAAATTTGTCATTTTATGCAACAGGCAGAGCACTTACAAGTATGGGCGTAGGAGCCCCCATCGAGGAAATTCCACCAAAAGCCTTCAAACGAGCTCCCTTCACTAAGCCTCCATTCACTCATGACGACCTCAGGAAAGCTATTCCTCCTCACTGTTTCCAGCGCTCAATCCCTCACTCTTTCCTCTACTTATTTTACGATGTAGCCGCTGTGTTTACCCTCTACCACGTAGCCACCGATTTCATTCCCCTTCTGCCCATCCCATTAAGGTATGTATGCAACGCTAAAGAACTCGACAAATAAAATAAGTGTAAGAGTCGTACGAAGGAAATAGCAAAAATAGCGATGGGTACTTATTTTTGGCTGCAGGAATAGAGACTCCAGTAAATGGAACTCAAAATTCGATCTGAATTTTCTCACAGTTTATGAATATTTATTTGACTATTCCGATCTAAAAAATCTTCTTTTAATTTTCGATGAGCGCGCACAGTTCTTCTCTTTGAATCAGTGTGTGCCAAGTAAAAACTCACTGGGAAATGCGCGGCGAGCGTGTGATTATTTTTTGCAAAACGCGCTATCGGAGATTTCTGTTTTGCATTGAGGAGCCACACTGAAAAAAAAAATCTCGGTGTATTTACTGAGGAAAGGGTAAAATTACCAAAAATTCAGGGTTCTATTTGATCCTAGTTTTTTCTTGGTAAAATTACCATTTATGGAATTGGTAACTTTACCGAGGAATCTCGGTAAAATTCTTGAACTTTCTCGGTAATTCTACTGGACCTTGGTAAAAACGCCAATATTTTTTATCGACTGTGGTAGAATTACCGAGATAACATGGCAAAGTTACCAGGAATTGATTACCAATAAAAGCGGTATTCTTACCTGAAAAAACAGTAAAAATACCGGTTTTTCGGTAAGCTTACCTGTCTGTCTCGGTTAAATTACCAATAATTGGTAAAAAAAAGTGAGAAGGTAAGGGTACCAAACGGACCTTGGTAAAAACGCCGATAATTTTTTTTCAGTGCACAAGCTGGTTTCAGCTGGATCACTGTGTATCTGCGAAAGAGCTCTCATAGGCACTTACGTCCCTCCTCTTAGAACGCAGTTGCTTCGAGGCGAACAGACCCACTCTCTCCGAACAAACTCTGGTTTCTTCTTGTAAAGTGCCATCCATTTGTACCATTAGTTTACTTAGTTTAGTAGTAGATACGTGGTTTTATGGGTGAACCAGAGATAGTGGTTTTTTGCTGCATAGTGTAACTATCCATGGTTCGCTTGAACGGAAATGAACTACATTTTGCAGTAAGGCTTTACAATTTCTGGCTTATTGTAGAAACAGCACATGTACCATTAGTTTTCCTACCCAGATAGGTGTTGTTATGTATGAGCTAGAAACTGCGGTTCCTTATTGCAAAATGCAGTCCATATAATCAGAATCAGGCTAACTACATCGGATGGTTCGTAATCTCTAGTCAGTCTTGTACATTTGGACGTATTTCTGTTGAACGGAACTAAGCGCCAAATTGAGTTCCATTGGAGGATTTTGGAATCCCGGTTAGCGCGTTCTGTCAAACGGGACTAAGCGCCATGAAAAAGCATTGCGAGTCTAAGACGAAACGAGCATCGCGTTCCACAACACCCGCCAATCCAAGCCCCCCTCTCCCTTCCTCCTCCTATGGCGCTTAGTTCCGTTTGATAGAAATACGTCCATTTACAAGCCCATACTTAAATCTTTCAAGATGCCCTTACTCTCCCTCTATACCCAGCACCTCTAATTCTGATAAACGCGTTACTTTGATGTAGCTCTCTGTAAGACGTCTTTACTCTTCCTCTATACCCAGTTCCCCTAATTCTGATAAATGCGTTAGTTTGATGAAGCTCTTTACTTTTTCTGACAGATACTTGGCATGGCCGGTGTACTGGGTGGCGCAAGGCTGCGTCCTGGTGGGGATCTCGGAGATAGCCCACGGGTGCGGTCACCACTCTTTCAGCGACCACGAGTGGCTTGACGACGTCGTAGGGTTGCTCCTCTTCTCACCTCTCCTCATCCCTTACTTCTCCTTTAAATTCTCGCACGGCAGACACCACGCCAACATGGGATCCATCGGTCGCGAGGAGGCCCTCGCCACGAAGCGGAGGGATGCCCTCAGTCAGGGAGGCGAGAGGATCTTCCAGTGGCTCCGCAAAACGCCTTTTAGGCTCATCATCATCGTCGGGGGACTTCTCTTCGGGGTCCAGCTCTCCCTCACCGTCGGGTTCGGTGGCAGGTAAGCCGTAAGCTAGCCTCGATTCTTATTAAGTGAATGCAGCTCGATGGACGGGACTGGGACATGTCGTCGCTCCTCTCACGTAAGAGCGTGTCTCGATTTAGCTCGATTCAGCGACGGTCTCAAGCTCCATATAACGCCATACTTTCCGGGGCCCATGAAAAAAACGGAGTTATGACCATACGTTAGATGAGTAACGATATGTGACAGGGCATAGGAATTGCGGTCTCGAAACAAAAGCACGAGCTTTACAGGAGAGTGTATAAACGCAATTTGTGTCGAATTATCGCACGCTCCTCCGATTGTCTACCTCGGAAGTGGGGGAATATTCCCAGAATATCTTAGAATATGCCAAAAATTATTTGGCAGATCGTCATGAGAATACAATTTTTGAGGCAAATCACTCCGTGAACGATACAGCTTGAAAACATAGCCCGAACGTCCTGCCTTTTAGTGTTTTTAATGTTTTAGCTTTTGTTTGTTAAGATTCTAAAAAGATTCTTACCGTACTCATAGACAAAATTATGCCGAGAACATTTTCAAAAGATTCATGCAAGACACATAAAATGGGGTTTTTTTTAGGGGCTGTGTTTTGGTCAAGAGACAGGCCAATAGTAGGAATATTCGAGGAAACTTCTGAGCAGATTATTACATGAAAATAGTATTCCCGGAATATTCTTAGCGTAATTCAAGCGAGTTTCTGATATAAATCGTGGAACATTTTCAAACTATAGCTTACTGACAGAATACTCTCAACATAATGCTTCCTAATCTTTCCAATAATGTTTTTCCTCTTCTTTTTGACAGGCAATATAACCAAATCTCCAGTCTCCTCGATCCTTGGGGTCCGATCTTCAATCGTAAACAGCGGCTCCAAGTCATCATATCCGATATCTTCCTGGCAGCCGCCCTATACACGTACTATCAAATTGGGGTGACGCAAGGGTGGGAATGGTTCTTATGCGTTTACGGAGGACCGTACGTAGTCCACAACGCTTTGGCAGTCATGATGGTATCCCTGTCACACATGCATCCGGCGCTGCCACGTTACGACGCCGACGAGTGGGACTGGCTCCGGGGATCCCTCAGCACGGTCGACAGGGACTGGGGCGTCCTCAACCACACGTTCCACCACATGCCCGACCTCCACGTGGTTCACCACCTCTTCCCGAAGATGCCGCATTACCACCTCCAGGAGGCCACCCATTACGTGAGGCCCATCTTGGGCGAGTATTATCAGCGCGACACAACGCCCATCTACAAAGCCCTCTTCAGAGAGGTCCAATGCTTCGCTTTCGTCCAGAAAGATAACGACGTTAAACATGGAGGTGTATTCTGGTTTGCCATCGATAAATCATGATCTTCTGGCATGCACGGGGAAAAAAGTCTCTTGGATTCCGAGTGCGAGCTCTTGAAAAATTTGACAAGAAAATATATTCTTGATTCATCGGGCTTCAATCGAGGAGCTCACCTCTTATAAGCGGATTTCCTTTTCATTTAAACAAAAGTCCGATTGAATCAAGAATATCTTTTCTTGTCAAATTTTTTGAAAGTCATGGACTATGCAGGATCCAAGAGACATTTTTCCCGGTCAGGTAAACTTGAAATTTAGTGGGTGATGGGGGGGGGGAGGGAGACCGAGGGTTCCTGACCGTCAAAAAGAGCCGTATGCAAAAACGACATTTTTCGCCCCCCCACTAAAACTTATTCAAACTTCGTCTATCAGTTACTAATACTGGAGCGCTTCTTTCCCCAAATTTTCAGATCCCCAAAAAATTTTGGGGGGGCGCTAGGGGGGTGGAAGTCAAAACCTGTGACCCTCGATATCTTTCGAACGAAACAAGATATTGAGGCTCGATTTGGACGAAAAATCGTCTAAAATTGCATACTTTAAGATTCTAAAGGTCAAAATCCCAAAATTAAATTTTTAACTTAACTTATGTGCTTTTTTTCAGTTTTTGAGGAAAAACAATTTCTTTTAAACAGATTAAACTGAAATTTCACATTTTTTGATTTGAACCAAAACCAGTTTTTTAAATTGTTCGTCTTTTTCCGCATCCAACGAGTGGTCGTATAAGCTGGGGAACCGAACGGTTCCGGAGTTATGATCGATTGAAGTTTCCGCTCAACGCGCGCCGACCGATTTTCGCGCGCAAAAAAGTCGGATTTGACTGTTATTAAATCAGATTTAATGTTCAAACTGAGCAAAATGCATTATTAGGGACTCTAGAGGGTCGCTGAGTCCAGAAAATACAGATACTTCCGAAAAATTCACGTTTTTAAAATTACAGCTCCGTAGCGCTATTTTAGAGGCCCACTGAGCGGCCGGTCGGCGCTCGTTCGAAAGATATCGAGGGTCACAGGTTTTGACTTCCACCCCCCTAGCGCCCCCCCAAAATTTTTTGGGGATCTGAAAATTTGGGGAAAGAAGCGCTTCAGTATTAGTAACTGATAGACGAAGTTTGAATAAGTTTTAGTGGGGGGGGGGGGCGAAAAATGTCGTTTTTGCATACGGCTCTTTGGAATGTCTACTTTAAGAACTTAGTACGAGCTACACATTTTTTAATAAGTCCTTGGCCATTAGCTCATTTTTCGTGCTATCAGAAGTTTTATCATTCTTATAAAGAAACTAGATGTATTTAATATTGTGTGTTTTAATTTAAATTCAAATCTGGTTAAAAGTAGAATGCGCAAGTAGAAATTGGATGTATAAAAACACATCTTGTGTTCACATATTATATAGATATGTTGTGTACAATGCCCAATGTTATAGGTAACGCATTTTTTCGCTTCAAAAAAGGTTTAAAAAGGTTCCCGTTACCGAATATTTTGAAAATAAAATTCTTCCACGGAACATTCAGCAGTGTATTTTTAGCATTGATCCGCCGGAACGCCTGTCACGTTTTTGCCCATTTACTCCACTTATTTTGGTTACGCTCTTCTTCAAGACTAGACATAACTTATGTTGCGTCTGTCGCAAAAAAAGAACAATCTCTCAACTTTTTTCTTCTTCTTATTTTTGATTGTACTCAAATTCATCATTAATGTAAAATCTCTTAGTTCTTATTTTCATTGACCATTGACATGAAATGAGCTCGACACTTTGGAAATTTTTTTTTTATCCTCTCATGTCCATATTAAGTCTATACCAGGATAAAAGAAATCAATATTAGATTGGCTAAATTTTAATTATTAGAGGAGATAACCATTAGTAGTAGCCTCAAATTCATGCGATCTACTCCGGAGGATTTGAATTTGCGTAAGCGTACTTTTCAAATATCGAGTATGCTCGAAGAAAGAAATGTTCAGATGAAAAAAATAAATGAATAATAACTGAATGAATGAACGAAAGAGAATGAGCGCAGAAAATGGATGCATTCTTCGTGCCCATTCCCCTCCTCCCTATACAGGGTGTTCGAAAAGTCCCCTCCCCCCCTCTAACTTTTGACCTAATTGAGGTAGAGATTTGAAACTTGGAGGGTGTTCCTAGATCAAAGGGAGCTACTTTTTGACCCCCCAAAATTTGGGGGGGGGGGCCCATTTTGGGGGGGTTACGGACCCTAACTTTTAATTTTCAAATGGGAAGACCCCCTTTGTGATACCTCGTTCGAAAGAGCATAAAAAAAGAAAATTTTTCGCGCAAACCGGAAGTCATTATCCCAAACCGTTTCAAAATGGCGGCCGGTCAAAGTTCCAAATGGCCGAAAATTGGCACCTCTGCTATTTGCACATGGATTTGCTTGAAACTCGGTATCAAGGGGTATTTTGGCACGAGAAAAACGAATTTAACGTTAGATTTTCAAAAAAACCCTAATTTTTCAAAATGGCGACCGGTTTAGGCTCAAAGAGGCCAACAATTTGACAAACTCGATTTTTTTGCCACTGGATTCACCTGAAATTCGGTATCTGGGGGTATTTTGACCCGAGAATAACGAATTCAATGTTAGATCTTTAAAAAAACCCCAAGTTTTCAAAATGGCCGCCGATTAAAGTTCAAAATGGTCAACAATTGGCAACTTCGACTTTTTGCCGATAGATTCGCCTCAAACTCGGTGTTTGAGGGTATCTGGGTGGGAGACAAACGAATTCGACGTTATTTCATCGAGTTTCAGACGAATCTATTGGCAAAAAGTCGAGGTTGTCAATTGTTGACCATTTTGAACTTTAATCGGCGGCCATTTTGAAAAACTAGGGTTTTTTTAAAAATCTAACGTTGAATTCGTTATTCTCGGGTCAAAATACCCCCAGATACCGAATTTCAGGTGAATCCAGTGGCAAAAAAATCGAGTTTGTCAAATTGTTGGCCTCTTTGAGCCTAAACCGGTCGCCATTTTGAAAAATTAGGGTTTTTTTGAAAATCTAACGTTAAATTCGTTTTTCTCGTGCCAAAATACCCCCAGATACCGAGTTTCAAGCAAATCCATGTGCAAATAGCAGAGGTGCCAATTTTCGGCCATTTGGAACTTTGACCGGCCGCCATTTTGAAACGGTTTGAGATAATGACTTCCGGTTTGCGCGAAAAATTTTCTTTTTTTATGCTCTTTCGAACGAGGTATCACAAAGGGGGTCTTCCCATTTGAAAATTAAAAGTTAGGGTCCGTAACCCCCCCCCCCCAAAATGGGCCCCCCCCCAAATTTTGGGGGGTCAAAAAGTAGCTCCCTATGATCTAGGAACAACCTCCAAGTTTCAAATCTCTACCTCAATTAGGTTAAAAGTTAGAGGGGGGGGAGGGGACTTTTCGAACACCCTGTATTAGCCGCTCACGGATGGACCCCGCCAAAAATTTGAATTTTCCAGAGGACGCAAGCGCCCTCTAGTGGATTTGTTTTTGTTGTTGTCTGACATCTGGGGCATCTGTTTACATTTACATCATTGAAATGTTCTGGTTCAACGTTCTCGTACTATTATAATTAATTTTATTTTTGTGTAACTCTTTTTAACACCTATCTTTCCTCTAACAGATTTACATGATAAGTGAGATTTAACAAAATGTTCTCAGTGTGCTTCACTCACAACAGGTGTTTATTTTAATTCTAACTGAATGATGAATAGCTCATTGTCACACTTCAGACAGCCTGAGATTTACATTTTCTTTTTCGACTGCGACTGCCATGATTTCCATTATATTGGCTCATTGTAAGTTCGATCACTACACGGTGAATTTTTAGAGTGAGCGTTAGAGTGATTTCGTGATCTGCTCCGGAAGAAGCTCGAAAGATGCCCACCAAAGTTTACACGAGGAAGGATACCAGCGAAGTCAGCTGTTGCTTGAAGTACATCATCTTTAGTTTCAACGTTCTGTTTTGGGTATGTTATCCCCCTCTAAGTTCTCCCGAACTGCTTTTTGCTTGACTCGCGTTTGTATGCCCGTGAAGTGGAACCTGATATTGTTAGTCCTGAAACGTCACTAGGTTAGGCGCTGTCCTGGATTAATCACTCCTTGTCCTTGTCAGCATTTTCTTGGCATGATGTTTTTCCTCTAAATTTGTCCCACTGCTCTTTCAGTCTCTTCAATTGCTCTCTTTGCTGAGAAAAGCATATTATAGGATGATTAGGATGCAAATAGTAAAGCACATCCTTCAAAGGTCGTGTTACAGTGGTAAATAGTAGTAAGAACTTGAGTCACTATCGAAAAATTTAGTCCTGGAACTATTCAGAAGCAGTATTTGAGTATTAGATTCGATACCCTCGCTGAGAATCAGTGATATAAACAACACTAAGATATTTATAGATAAGTAACAAACGGGTTATCTGTGGAATGTGCTGAAATCCATTACTATTTGATAATAACCAGGTATGGATAAGATACTTTGCAGACCTTATGATTATGACACAAAACCTAACTTAATCTGTCATGAATATTTTTTACTTTTTTGGATGTAATAAATGAAATTGCAGCTATTCGGTTACATTCCTGAAGCCCTTTGAAGGAAACTTTTTAAGTCTATTTATTGACTCTCTGCGCCGTGTTAGACTAGGTACTACAGTTTACATCCACAATTTTTACTCCTCTACCTTCCGCAGCTCACTGAGTCCACAATTCTCCTTCATAGCTTCAAAGTAGGAAAGTTCAAACTGGGACTTTTTAGGTCTAGGGGCTTAGGAGGCGGTCAATCCATAGGAAATTCTCACGATTTAATTGTAAAAACTGAGTCTTCAAAGTAGTGATAGTTGCAAGCTATCTCATATTTTTTTATAACTAATTGTGTCCTTTGGTAATAATCTTGACACTTTTATCCTCACATTTTTTCTATCTGGTACAGGTTATAAAAATATCTTAGGTCTTCGAATGACTAGCACTAAGTAGGCTACTCACAGTCAAGCTGACAATCTTTTGTGACTTACCTTTTTATAAAAGTAGCTTTCCTCAAGAGCATATTCTCTTTTTCCAAAGGCTCCTCCTGCATCTCTGATAGACCCACCGCCTCCACCTCCTTTTCCTGCTCCGTCGCCTGGCTCACCACAATAGTGTCTCGCAATGTGGACAACATTCCTGCAAAATTAATGAACTTTTTTCAAAACACATTCCTCGATATGCTTATTAATAATTTACAAGACTATTCGAAGCTTTGACCTCAATGGAAAGCTTATTCAGGGCTGTTCATAAATTATGTCACAAATTTTGGATCATCCCCCTCCTCTTACGTCACTCCTCCCCCCCCCCGCCCGAAAAGTCTTCTCGTTTCTTTTGCATAAAAATTCCGAATTTTTTTTCGATTTTTGGCCAATGCCATTGAACTTTTTTCTTAAAAATAAAAAATCGGCATTCTGTGCCAATTTTCTTCGAAACCTAAAAATTTTGTCTTCTAGCAAAAACATAGCATTTTTTCCATTTCATGAGACTTGATTTTCAATTTTTCGTGAGTATAATTTTCATGAGAAATTATGCCGTAAAACATCTATTGGGGAAAAAAGATGAAAAAAATCTATAAAATTGATAAGTGAGGGAAACAACAATTTGTCGAATCCCTGTAAAGTCAGGGAATTTTGAAACCCAAGAAAAATAGTAATCCTCATCGTCATAGATACTCGTAGCGCGTATGAGGACATGGTTTTTTCTGTTTAGTTTTTTTCTTCATAATTTACCCCTCCTCCAAGTAAGTATTGTACCCAACGATTGCGAATGCTATGCGAAGTAGCGCAGTATGCTGGATACGATATGTAATGAATCACCACGCAGGCTTTTACATTACAGGTTGTCAACCTTGACTTATCGGAGAAGTGCAAAGCATATTTCGTGAAAAAAGCTTCCACTGAAGGTGTGTCGTTTAAGTCGTGTGTCGTTTTAAGTCGTCAATCGTCAATCGAACGAAATTGAACCCGGATACGAATCTGGGCAGACGCCGGCTATTATACTGTGCTAGTAAGAACGCCGTGTGAGCCATTGGGTGTTGCCAAAATTTCTTCGACAAATCACGAATTTTCGGGAAAATTTATAAATTTCCCTCTTACGATTTTTTAGAGAATTTTGCTCGTAATTTGGTCGAAAGTGTCTGAAAATTTCATTAAATGATATCCATAACTTCCTTCAAAAATAAATATTTTTGGGGAGGCAATTTGACAACATTCGAATGCTTTTACGGTATTTTTCCTTAACACCGCAAATTCTCGGAGTAATTACACCTACAGGAGTTCTAAAATTTCCGGATCTCGGGATTTCTCATCGGCGACCCGATTTGGTATTGAAACTGTATCGGTCTGACAACACCGTAGCCCTATCTTAACAATGAAATATATCGCATTTTGATGTTTTATCGGGCTGCTTCAAACTTTCGCTAGTCGGCCCGCAGTTACGTTAGAAAAGGCACGGGTTTTTGAGAAAGCAGCGATCATATAGTTCTCAAGGGACCCAGGGTGGGCCTAGGCAAAAGGATTTTTGGATTCCTCGTCTCCTACTGCATACACCAAGTAGCATTTTTCAACAGAAAAACTGCTATATTTTAAAATTAAGTTCGATTTCTTTACGATTTTAGGCGATAAAATCACTAGAATCATCAACATCTAAGCGATTATCCCCTATCTTGTCACAATTTTATTTGTACAAAATCGAAATTTTATCTCAATTTATCACGATTTATCGTTCGATATTATTTCGATAAATCGCCGTCGATAAAATCGTGATTCTATTGCAAATTTATGTGATAAAAATGCAGTTTATCACAATTTTTTATCCGTTAATATTGCAACAAGTAAACGTCGATAAAATCGCGATACATTCTCGGATCAAATCGCAACTTACCGCGATCACTGCAACTTGGGACTTACGTTATCACTAACCTTGATTTCCAGGTTGATATCGCACTGCATTTCTGCATATTCGTAGTTTTTGTCGACGGTCGGAATATTTGCTGGAAGATATTTTTTTTCATCGTGTACTTTTCAACCTAAATTATCACCATGGAGTTCTTAGTTATTATTGCCGCCGCAAACTCATGTGCTCAGCTGTTCGAATGAGTGAGCGTGGAAGGTGTCAAAGTTGAAGCATTTTCATCTTTTCTCACTCTCCTTCTCAGCTTAAGTTGAAAACAATGTTCCTCAAAGAATGATCTGAGGGGCTTGGAGGACAAGGCGCATAAGTGCAGTTTTTGAAAAAATTAAGATATTAAAGATTTGAATGAAAATTAGTCTTAATGCATATTCTGTGAAAAATTCGCTCCCAAATGCGAATTTTTAAGCATCAAAAAGTCAGTTTGAACTTTCTTTCCGCCATAAGGATCCTCGTAATTTCGAAATTTAAACACGTATTTCTCGGAACAGCAAAAACTGCACCTGTGCGGCTGTCCTCCAAGCCCCTCATTTTCAAGCGCGACTCAAAACTCGTATATCGACGGTGAAACTACCAAACCACGTATCTCGGTTTGCGACGTCGCAGACGTCCTGTCATACTTTATTTTTTAAATGAAAAACTACTTAACATCCAGTCTTGAAAATTTCTGTGATTTTTCCTCTTTGTGCGGAGAAAAGTCCGTGAAAATTTCAAGGAATGATATTGATTTGGTCTACTTCAAAAAAATAAAATGTGAGCGTAGATTTTTAAACACCGCAAACGAGATATCGACGGTGAAACTACCAAACCACGTATCTCGGTTTGCGACGTCGCAGACTTCCTGTCATACTTTATTTTTTAAATGAAAAACTACTTAACGTCCAGTCTTGAAAATTTCTGTGATGTTTCCTCTTTGTGCGGGGAAAAGTCCGTGAAAATTTCAAGGAATGATATTGATTTGGTCTACCTCAAAAAAATTAAATGCGAGCGTAGATTTTTAAACACCGCAAACGAGATACGTGGTTTGGTAGTTTCACCGTCGATATGTGGTGTGGTAGTTTCACCGTCGATATGTATTTCTCGATCGCCGAAACTGCAGATCTTACTGCGGGAGATAAGAGATTTCCGGGATTTTTTTCTTCTATTGAAAAATTGACATTTTATCGAAGAATTTTAAGGTCATATTTGAATATTGCAGCAAAAAATACGAAGGAATTTTTCACGAACGCCTGAGACTTTTCCGAACTTTCTTCGGTAGTAAAATTCCTCCCGTCTATCGACCGCATCCGCCTCACAGTGGATCGAGTCTATCAGGGAGGTCGGACATGAAATTTTCGACTAAAACTGCAAATTTTGATGTTTAATTCGCCAAATTTTAAAGTTTAAGGGTTGCTTCAAGTCAAAAATTTCACGAGGAAATCAATGAAACCACTTTTAAAATCTCAAAACTTTGTCTGAATGGAGTTTAAAGCGTTTAAAGTCTTCAAATTTTGTCCGACCTATCCTATTGGTTCGATCCATTGTGCGCCTGTTCACGGTAACGTGGCATGCTACGTAATCCTGTTTACCACCGTATGAAACTCATCCGGTCGGTTGTTCTGTGCTTAAAAAGTAGGTTGATAATTTCCTTGGACAGCAGGCTTGGACGCCTGGAATGTTATTCTTGCCGTTAAAGACGAAAATTAATGTACTTTTTATCCAGCATTTAAGTACCAGTTATTCGAAAACTTCAATTTCAGTAGCTGAGACCAAAAATGGCCTTACTTTTTCTCACGTTGCACCATTTTCTCGGAAAATCTAATATCTTCTCAAAAGAAAGAAATAAATAAATAGTTACACAATTTTTTAAGGAAAATTTCGATGTTTTTATTTTTTATTTTTTTTTTTTAACGATCTGAGCTGATGGAAAAGCACAGATATCAATTTTAGAATCGATTCCATAGATCCATTCAGAATTAGCTTCTTCAAATTTGGAGGCAAAAGTTTTTTCGTCTGGTGTTATCATCAGGGCCGGATTTACCTATTTGCCGCCCATGGGCCGCCTGTATTTTGCCGCCCCCTTCTCATTCGTTTTGAAACATCAATAAAAACCATCAAGTGAACGTGCCAGAGAAGGAGTGGTGCATGAGACGCGTCTAATTATGTTGGACACATTGTTGCGAAATCCCTGTCAACACTTCTAACAAAAGTTCACGTAACTTTGCGCGAAAGTGAAGTTCCGTAAACCCACCTTTGTGTGGACAAGGCCTTACATGTATAAGAAATGAACGATGAAATTATGAAAGAACCAACATAAATGTGGTTTAATGATTTTAACTTCCGCCGCGCCGCGCAAACCGCACTGTGTTTGACGCAATGCGTGAAGTATTCATGCAGTCTTGTAGGCGCTATCCGTTTCACGCTGACCGCACCATGTTTGATGCAATGCGAGAAGTATTCGTGCAGTCTAGTAGGCGCTAATATGTGTTACATGCCGATCGATTGCCGCGCCGAGGCTTCTCCTTTTCATCTCAAGTCCTCGTCATCATTTCTCTCCAAGTCGCGCCGTTCCAGGCCAAATTGCGTGTTTGGTTTCTCTCTCAACTCGACTAATTAAAGGTGCTGTCACATGTATCACTGAAAGATAACAAAATTAAAAATTACTATATTCTCAGGAAATGAGAGATTTTGTCGCCTTTTTTCGTTTGTAATTTTTTTTTTCTAAATCCGATTTTTTTTTATACCTACATTTAAAAAAATTGCAAAATTTGCGGCCCCCTAGATTTGCCGCCATGGGCCGCGGCCCATGTGGTCACCCCCTTAATCCGGCCCTGGTTATCATCAATATTTATGATAGAAGTTTAACAGTTTTCATCATCAGATATCCTAAAATCATCATGAATTATCCTCATAATGAGCTATGTTGTAGCTATTTCTTTAATCTTTTAGTACATTTCACACGCTTTGAAATAACCAATCTTGCCTCCTAAATGAGTATTTTTTGAAGTTTTGAAGCCCAGGACTGAATACATCAGGTCACCTCTTTGCTCTTAAGGGCATTCTCATTTCAGGAAACTCACTTAAATTTTAGAAGTTGTTCTGCTACTTATTTGAAACGCTGAATTCGGAACCAAAATTTTTCTTCTAGAGGAAATGAAAGAAGGCAGATCACCTTTCTATGCCCTCATCCTCCCCTTTCGTCTACTCTAATTTCCATTTCCACGTCTGCTGATTTTTTTCTTTTTTTCAATCTTGTTTCAGATTTTCGGGTTGGGCATTTTAGTCGTCGGAATATGGGCCTGGCTAGAGAAAGATACTTTCAACAATCTAAGTCAGTTAACTCATATTGCTCTGGATCCTGCCTTCATTTTAATACTTGGTGGTGAGTTTTTTGGGTTGAATTTTAGTGTAACCCACACCGTTCATGTACCTACTGTCGGAACCTACATTTTATAACTTTTTTCCAAAGTCCCAGCACTCAGGTATTGCAGTTATTTGCTTTGAGTACCCATCAGATCTCAAATGATGGTACTTTTTATCTCATTACATCATCCCTTCTATTTTATTCCCCCTTTCCTCTATTGACTGAAAGGAAAAAAAGGCTTTTTATTCCGAGTTTAAAAGGTTGAAATATCATTTTCTAATAGATCAACATTGGATTCGTTGATTATTCCTAGTGTGTAAATTTAGTTGTGGTTTTTCTCTGTATTTAAAATTTATATTAATTTTATTTTACCATTTCAAGTATTTCTTTTTCTTTTTTTCTACGCAGGAACTCTTACATTTGTAATAGGTTTTACTGGATGCGTCGGAGCTCTCAGAGAAAATACTTGCCTGTTGGCAACGGTGAGTTAATGATTTTTATTCCTTTCCTTTTTGTCTTCGACTTTCATCTGGGGCTTATTTTAATGTGTTGTGTGATTTTCTGTATTTTAAAGCATGCGGCTTTGTTACATTACTGATCCAGCAAGAAACTAAACTATAATCTGTCTCATTGTGTGTCCCAAAGATGCATTTTGTTGCATTGTAAGATGTCATGACTAAATACAGTTAAGAATTTCCATCGTGTGTAGGCCTGTTTATTTGAAACCATGCGCCCTTGTCCTTTTCTTTTCTAATTTTTTAGCTTCTATTGTCAGATTCAAGAAAAATAAATCAATATTTCTAATTTTCAACCCCCAGAATTATATGATTTTTCAATTTTTTTACATACATATTCTTAACTTATTCTTTGTTTCTTTTCCAGTATGCAATTTTTCTTGCCCTAATACTTCTTTTTGAAATGACAGCTGGTACTCTTGGTTTTATTTTCAAAGACTGGGTAAGTCACTAGTATTCTAATTTGATGCTTGGTTTCTGTTTGCTTTTATGTTTTAATGAATCAGTATATCTTGGTCTGTTGCTTTTAAAGAATATGATATATCTAGGTAATCACTTCAAATATTAATTTAAAATTCATAGGAAGGTTACGCAACAAGATTTAAGAGCAACTTTGAGCAAGATGATAGTTGCACAATATCTTTATTGAGAAGTTGCAGGGAGGCATGCATGAACATCCAAGAACATTGGATCAACAGCAACAAGTAGACGTGAAGAGATAAAACGAAATTTAACATCACAGAATCCATTAAAGCGCTTTTCTCAAATCGATATTCCAATGCGTTTGTTTTTTTTGGTTCACTGGGGAGGGTAGTGTTAAAATTTTTATAAAAAAATCTGAAAATATGTTTACCTTCATCTGGATGCCAGGCTTAAGTGGGGCACCGGTACCCATTTGAAAAAAAAGAAAAAACCATTGAGCAATTGTAACTTAAATTCCACACTTTCCTTTCAAACTTTTACAACATTGGTCCAAAACAGACACACTCACAAGCAAGAAAGAGAAAAAGTTAATATGTTTTTTTAAAATGTAATTTTTCAGATAAAAAATCAAGCAACTGGAGGGTTTCAAACTTTCATTGTGCATTACAGAGAAGATCCAGACCAGCAAAATTTAATCGACTGGATTCAAGAAGACTGGGTAAGTGAGCTCCGTTCCACTTAATACACCATTCCAATCTATTATTGATATTCCATTTTTACTTGATATTTTGTACCTATCAGAGTGCAGTGCATGATTTGATCAATTTGATAGAAGAGGAAAAAGAGGAAGATTTCCTTTGATAATTTAGGTTTTTCTTTTTTTTTTATCTCTCCCCCCACTCCTTTTTTCAAATTGTTTGACCCGTGCAGAAAATCTTTCCTCTCAAATTGAAAGAAGTGGTTTGAATTTCGCTTACTTTAGAATAATAGCAGGCCTGGAGTTAATATATAGCCTTATTACCATGAAAAACGAAGTTACTGATAGTAATAGATATGATAATACCTAATAACAGTGTTGGTATCACACCACCGCCACCGGCCAAGTGGAAGTTCAAAATTTACACATCAGTTTGATTAAAAATTCTATTATCTGAGTTTTTATGAAAAGCGGGAGAAGAAAAAAGCGCCCAGCTTAGGGTTTTTTCTACTCTCCACTTAATGTCTTTACCCCCTTAAGAACCATTAACTTAATGCTGTCATTGGTCTATGTTATGTTACAGTTACAATGTTGTGGCATTGAAGGACCCAAAGACTGGGACAAAAACAACTATTTTAATTGTTCTTCTCATGATGTTGGAAGCAGAGAAGCATGCGGTGTGCCATTTTCTTGTTGTCGAAGGAAACCTAATGTACGTTCTTTCCTTTCTTTTTTTCTGGAACAATTATTTCTCTTTATCAGTCATGACTCTAATACCTATCTTGCCGTAATTGGATGAGTCAAATTAAATAGAAGTGTTTACTGGATGAAATCTGCAATTTCTTTGAATTTGTCAATTTGGCCTTGTCTCAAAGAAGGAAGCAAAAGCTTTGTATGAATGGGTATTCCTCATTTTGGATGTTTGAGCAGCTATCGAAGGAGATCATATCTGTTTTTAGCAGTGAAAGGGGTACAATTTTTCTCTCGACTCATGCTACCCAAACTCTGTTGCTGTCACTTTCATTTTCTCCTTTAAAGTATGCATATCATGAATTCGAAATACATGCAATCAAAATTTAGATTTTGGTTCCCCCAAATCATCGTAAAACATTAAGATATGATGAAATCACAGTTTTTACCCCTATTTTTATTGTTTTATGTTTTTATGACAATTTTACTTCGTCTACCTGCATTCCTGCAAGGACGCGAGGAATTAAAAACTGGTCATGTGTAAATTCACAGGTCTGAAAACTTTATTAATATCATTTTCAACTCAAAATTGATTTCCTGCTGTCAATACATTTGTAAAAGATCTAAAAAGATCTCTGTTTAAAAAGTAAGACACTTTTATGTATATATGATTTCCAATAATGATTCTTTTGGTTTAAAAGTTTTTGAGATTCGCAGAAAAATTGCTCTTTTTAAAAATAAAGGCTCCTTGCTGTGGGTTTCTGCAATACTATCTTTTGTTCCTTTGATGCAATTTTACTAACTTTTTTGTTTTTGTACTCATCAGGAACTGATAAAAAATAAGCAGTGTGGCTATGATGTGCGGAAACCTGGCTATGTAAGTATTTCCAGATAGTTCAAAAATTACCTCTTTCCATTTCCAACTCTGTCTCTACAAAGCTAAATTGCTATTCAACTTAAATTAAAATATTGAGCTGCAGGAATTTCACATAGTTAAGAGACATAAAAAAAGCAATAACTTGGGTGAAGAAAAATGTCTGTCGCAGCAGCAGAATCCCAATTCTTTGTCTGCAGAGAGTGCTCATAAAATGTAAATAGGAAGCAAGGCTAACACATTTTCTACATTCATCTGATCTTTCTGAGTAACTCTGGTTGACCCAAGAATTTGGAGAATATTGCGGCCATTTTTTTTCTTTCTTTATTTTTTTTATTTTTAAGGGTTGACTCATCACTATTCAGTGATTTAGTGCGAGTTTTGACTATTCATTAATATTTTCTCAGTTTCAAAGTACCATTCTGTACGTCTGTACAATTAAGTAACTGGATCTGTGAAAAGGGACCTCATCTTCCGGAAGAAAATTCTCCTCAACCTTTTTCAAATGCATGAAGGAAGAAAATCTGGTTATTTTTGAGCAAGTTTGACCCTGAAAGCTTGAAATTGGAGAAGACGTGAGTTCTAAAGTTCCAAGACTAAAAACGTTGTAGAAAAATGTGTTGTTAGCTTTTGAAAAAATCAACAAATACCTCCTGCCCGAAGGCGAAGTACCTTGTCACAGATCCAGTCACATGTTCGATGCTTATGAAAAGTAGAAACTTAAACCGGTTTCTTTTAAATTAGTTTGCCGATGGTTGGACCAATTTAACTCCAGCACAAATGCAAGAACCAAACATTTTTGAAAGAGGTTGCTTACGTGCTGGGGAAGAATGGATGGAAGCTAATATGATAACGGTGACCAGTGTGGTCATGGCATTTGCCATAGTGCAGGTATCAAGTTGGTCATCTGTTTGCTGTTCATGCAATTTTTTTTCTTTTTGGAATTTGAAAAGTAACCTTACCCAGAGACTCTTTTTATTTGTTATATTTGTCTGTAGTGTCTGTTTTAGAATGTATGCTATTCCCTCAATGCACTTTTCTATTTATTTTTTAGATATTTTTCCTTCAAATTGATTCCCTCATGTAAATGTTGTGTAGTGGTCTCAATTTTTATGATTTGATTATTTTAATCCTATTAGCATAATTTAGTGTATTTCTGCTAGCATTTTGATTACATCAAAAACAATCATATTTTCCAAAAAAACTTCCTTGTTTCTGCTTTTTGTTTTTGTTCTTAGAAGCAATTTTAATTTATTTGTATTTTTGTTAGAAACTTGACCCTGCAAAGATAATTTATCAGCGAGGCTGTGTAGATGCGGCAGAAGAATGGGTAGAAATTAATATTTTATACATCGCTTCAATTTGTTTTGTATCTGGATTTTTTAAGGTATTACACTCCAAATATCACTGCTTGATTTTCTTAATTGTTCAGGACAGCTGCAATTATATTTACGCCTGATTTAGCTATGGTGTGTTAAATGCATGCTTTGTTGAAAATTTCAAATTTGAACCGAATAGTTGGCTAGCTACTTGAATAATTATTTATTTTTACACTGATGAAAAATTTGTTCGTTGTAATGAACCCATTTTTATCAAAAATGTTAAGTCCTAAGACACACAAGAACATAAGTCTTTCGGAGCTCACAGGTAATAATTGATCTCCTAGTCGAAAATACAAATGTTTATTTAAATTAAATGTTTAAAATTCCTGATACGCCTGGGTGACCAGTCAAGTTATGTAATTATACGTATCACTTTCCAAATTTTGCATTAATTTCTGTTTGAAAGTAGCTGATCCTAATATTCTGCCACCAAAATAATTACCATCAAGAGTGCATAATAACATCTTCCAACAACGATGGAAATTGGCAAACTCACCAAAATTTAGTATTGAACATCGAAAATATAAACTTCTTATTTAAATGTGCTCTTCAGCCTTTCCTAATTTTCTTATGATCTTTCCTCATTTTCCAGTCACGAAATTCTTTGTCTTTTTCTGATAATTGAATAGTAATCTTTAATTATTCCTTTCTTTTTCTTTCCAGATTTTAGGAATATGTTTTGCGCAAAATCTGAGAGCAGACATATTTGCTCAGAAAGCCAAATGGCATTGACATTCACAGATGCCCACTATGGTTTAGTGGACCCAACTTTACTATTTATCCGTAGCTTGTATGTATTCATTAATTTATATATTACTATATTATTATGTATCCTCAAATTTAAAGCCGATTTTCTCTTTCACAGTAATTTTTGAACTGCCATGATGAGTATTTAGTTTTTTCAGGCATTAGGTTCTCATTTTGCCCTAATTTTTTTCGAATTAGAGGGCTAGTTCTCAGACAGTCGTGACTGTCTAATATTTTTCTTTGACAGAATATTTTTTCCCGTTTGATCTTGATGCCTGTTAGGTTTTTATCAGTAGAACTCAGATGATCAATAGTATTAAAAATCGGCTGAGTGTGTGATATTTGGAAGTAAAACTTTCATCCAATGTATTATTACATCATAATCTTAAGTGTTGAAAAGTAAATTTATTTTTTCATTCATATTAAATGCAATAATAATGTGATAGTACAAAGAATTGTATTTATACATGATGATGCCATGGTCATGCTTGGAAATGTATAAAAGATTTAGGCACCTGCGTATGTGAAATGGTAGTCCTGTTGTGTAACTGGTGTTTATCGGCTTGATACTTAATTTGATATGTAGGTCTCTTGTTAGTATTAGAGGAACAAGATCGATTCAACAAAGAACTGTTTTCTCAGATTTGCCTTGGAACGAAGTATGTACTGAGTATTTTTCTTTTTACAACTTGCCTCCGACCATTTGATTCAACTTTTTCCACTCAACTTCTCCAAGAAGAGAGAAAACTTCAACAAGCTTTCTACTTTTTTTGTTTTAGCTTGTGCTATTCTTTCATCCAAGTAACCAAAAATTAGGATTCAGTCGAGCAAGTACTGCAAAAAATTGCAATCGAGAAAATGAAAAAAAGTACTTAGCTTCCTTTCTACTTTAAATGTGTGATTTTTGGTTCGTCCATTCCAAACTCTTGATGATCGTAATTCTGCTTAAAAATGTTTCTTTCAAAGAAATGGGACAAAGAAAAAGAAGTGAGTAATTTTTGCTTTTTTCCTGTAAAAAGACCGATTTTTTCACTCATACACAAAAAATGAAACAAAAACTCACTAGATGTTCAATACACTGCTTTTACTTAAGGTCGTGTATTACTTCTATGATCTTATATCCAGTCAAAATAAATATTATACACTCCGATGGCTAAATCTGGAAACCTTGTGCTTTCTTACCAGTGTTTCAAAATAGCAGTTCCACGTAAATTTTTTCGAAAAGGAACAAGCCAAATTGTCTTTATTTAGAGTCCTTTTAAGACTAGCTCTGAAATAGAGATGTGAAATCACAAAAATTTTCAAGGAACTACGTTCATCAATGATACAATAATACAATGAAGTCTCTTATGGCGCAGATAGAGGTATGTTGTTTCTAAGTTTAGTCATCAATATGGAACCTTCTCTCATTTTGTTTAATCATGCCTTCCTACTTAAAACATATATTTCCAAGTGTCAATATTTTAATACTCCTATTTATTAATAGCCCTAATATTTGCTTAATAATTTTTTTTATTATTTTGCATGTTCTATTAGTGCTATAAGTTAAGATGCCAATCTCATCCCGTCTTTTGGTGATGTATTACTAAGCTTATGACTGTGTTGCGGGATCATTGTCGTCTTTATGTATGTAAAGTGTCGGGCCAGAACTCATCTCCATTTGTAGTATCCAGTGTTGTATGGAAATACATGGCTCATCATGAGTTTTTCTGCGAATCTGAGAAAATACTTGGCAATTTGCATTAACTGGCTGTGTGGTCCGGGCTTTTCCTAATTTTTTGTTTTGTTCCAGTTTCCTCTTAATATTGACTGAAGTTTGTTTCCCTCATTTTTTGAAGCTAACTTCAGATGTGACCGGATCTGTGAAAAGGGCCGTATCTTCTGGGAGAACATTTGTCTTAACTTTTTTCAAATACCTAAAGGGAGACAATCTGGAACTTTTGGCGTAAGTTTGACCCTGAAAGCTGAAAAATTGAAGGAGACATGAGCCATGAAGTTTCAAAGCAAAAATTCCCAGGTTAAAGTAAAACGTGGTATCAATTTTCGCCAAAATTAGGGAAAATTTTCTCCCTAAAGACAAGGTTTCTTTTCACAGATCTGATCACGAATGCAGTCCATGAAATAAGTTGTAATCCTAACAAAATTGTCCACTTTTGCTCTGTAATTATAAGCTAATTTCTATGTTTTTCCATGAAATGTGTGTGTCAAAAAATAGAGTCTAATTAGGCAGGCACATAGTTGAAGCTAAGTTCGGCAAAAAGGGAAGTGTTTATCAAGGTTATCTGCGATGAACCGTAGACTGGCAGAGTGGAAAGCATGATCTTCATAGGTTTGAAGCCAAGTATTCATGAGTAGTATTTGTTGGAGTAATGTTTATGAAAAATTTGAAATCCAAAACATGTTTTACTTCGTATAGTTTCCTCAATTGACCTCTATTGCCCTTGTCCCTCGTAGTCGCCCATGTTTCCTTCAACTGAGGAACAATGAGAGGAACTGTATAAAAATAAGCTTTCAAGATTTATTCAAAGATATAACTTTTATGTGTTCCTTATGCCTCTACTTATTACTGTTTTCATCAGCCTTGTTTTAATTTCTTTAGCTGATAAGAAATCTATTACCGCTGAATTTAAATTCAGAGTGCTTAAAGCCTGAGATCTGCTCAAGCGTAATTTTACTTCAATAAATTGATTTAAAATCAATTATTGAGTAGGTAGGTAACGAAGTCTTAATTTTTATTCTGCACTTTCATTAAGTTTCTACTTTTCTCTCTGTTACTGCCAATTGTTGTTTGTTTTTCTATGGTTTTATTTAAAATCTCTTCGCTGTTTATTTGTGTTCATTTGTTCTTTGAAAAGAAGTTGGATAAATCTAACTGAATTTTAAGCGATTAACTTTGCCATGAGTCATACAAATTTTAGATCTCTACTAGCTTATTGTAGGTATATTCAATGAGAGTGTCAGAGATTTAGGAAAACGGATTGAATTAAGTGAAAAAAAACCCACAAATTGTGTTTGTTTTTTGCGCAATGCCTCTAGGGTGCAGTGCAGAGATCTTTTAAAAGCACTAAAGAAGTGAAGGGAAAAAACCTAATAGACTTAACATTTTCAAATTGATTTAACCACCTTCTTTTTTCTACTTATTCTCATTCTGTGCCACCAATTAGATATAAATTTTATTTTCACTCTATTTTGCTATCTACGAAATACATTTTATTTAAGATACTTATTTGCCTCTATCGCAAGAGCCACATAGATTTTCATGTGTACTTCCATCCATTCCTATTTTCAAAGCAATATTACTTGCCTGTTAAAATTTGAGTCAATTGAAGGGAAAAATATTTTCTACCAATTATTATGTTCTATTGTACCCACAGAGCTCCTTTGAACCTTTCACCTACTAAATTCACGATTGAAATTCTTTTCCCCGTATGTTATCATGTTCTTAATTGTGATCGTATCCTGTCAAGTACTCATGTTTGCTGTGTCTACGTTCAGTATCATTTGCTTATTTGTCTCTTTGTTTTTTCTTTGTATTATTTTTTTTTGGGAACAGTTTTTTATCTCCTTCCCTTCATGGTTCTAAAAAGACTTTGAGTGAGATAATTTATTTATTTAAGTTTCAGCTTGCTTTAAAAATCATCAATTTTAAGTTAAAATTTATCCCGTTTCTTCCTATTGTTTTTGCCAGTGTGAAACACACTTAATAAAGTAGGTACTTAACTTTTTGTGAATCTATGGTATTAAACTAATTTGTGATTATTTATGTGAATAAACTATTTTCATTTTAAAATCTTCTCTTTTTCTTTTTGAAGACGGAGTACCCAGTCTAAATTTTTATTTTTAAATTCCTGAAAACTGAATGTTTTCCTTCAACGACCAGAGGGTTGACAAGGATACAGGGTCTCGTAAATTTGTTTGTTAATTTTTCCAAAAAAATCATGTCTCTACAAAAGAAAGGATGTGTCCCAGCAAGGGAGGTTTTTTGCTAAAAAGATTTGGGGTTCTAGTATGATGGTTTTATGGTTCGGACTTTAAACCATTAAGACATGCCCATATTTGCTAAGTTGGTTCAGCAGTTGTGTATATGAGGAATAGTAGGCACTCGAAGTTCACTGATCATATAAATAACATGGGTCTGCAAGTAAGGAAAAAACCGTTTCAGTTTGAAACCGTTGTTGGCACACATTTTCATGATGGGTTTGTAGAGTCCTCTCATGTCCATCTACTTCTTTATCTCGAAATGGAAAATATGACATGGTATTTTCCCTCTTCTGAAAAGGTTCTGAACTGGATCGAAGCAGCATTACTTTTTAGATGAGAATGGTATAGATTGACAGTTTGTGAGAAGCTCATTTACAAAGATAAATGAACTCCTAGACGTGTAAAAAAGTCAAGAAATCTTGGAAAAATAATTTTTCATTCGTTTGGAAAAGAGAAAAATACAGGAGATGTCTAAGGTAAAATGATTATTTTATTAATATCCATATTTTTATTCATGGAATTTAATAACCACTGCAAAAAAAATTTCATAAATGTAATTGAAATAAAGTTCGATGAACAATAGACTATTTCACAAAAATATTCATTGAGAGAAAGTAAATTAATAAACAGATTCCTAATGTTGAATAGCTTCATAAGAAGATGAAATGGTGAAGGAAATAACAAATGCACAAAAACTTAAAAGTATTCAAGAATAACTGAGCTGTTCATTCAAAGTTACAACCATAAAAATATACATGTAAAATTTTAACAACAATAACATTATTTAAAGAAACAACAATAACAATAATTAACAATACAGGATGAAAAGTAGGTAATAGTTTGACTTGGCTGGATTAGGTGAAGCTTAGCAATTTACTTGACAGAGGAGACATTCAATCAGTCACTTGCGAGTGTCACATAAAGGGAGTTTTCACGATTGAATTTTAAGAATGAATAAAAAAATAACCAAGATCGTTCTAAGTAAACGGCAAATTATTTTGAGGAATGTTGCTTGTTGTAGAACAATGTTTGTGACTTGGAATTTTGCAATCTGTATTTTCCACAGTTTTTCTCTCTTTTTCGTCTCAATCTGCGATGAATATGTGCTATGATTCTTAGACGTTCATCACTAAGGTAACCAATACACAGTGAATCATGCCATTCACTAGCTTCACTCATGACATCACCTTGTTTTTTGGAGGACAATACTTCCATCAATACAAGAAAGGGAAACTTGGGGTCTACTGTAAGTGGCGCCAATTAAACTTGTTGGCTGGTGGCTCTTTCAGGAATTTTATAAATCAAAAGATTTGAGCTCAAACAAGAATTACTGGGACTCACATAAGTTTGGGATAAACTTAAATTAGCTTATTCAAGATGAAAATTTTAAGCATCTACAACTGAAAAAGGAATAAAGAACCTTTGTATACAGCAGAAAACTCGGAGTAACAGGAAAGTCTTTCACAAAAAGTAGATTAAAATTTAATATCTTTAAGTATTAACGCCAAGAGAAAAAAATAAATAATTACAGAATTTTCAGATACATAAAGAGAGGATACGTATTTTTACAAAAAAAAAAAAATATTGAATAAATGAATACATCACGAAGAAAAAATTGTCTACCTGACAAACAGAAGACTTTACACGGGAGTGAAGTAACAATATAAACTTAAGTAAGTCTCTGAAAAAAAAAAAAAAAATATTAGCTATAGATAGAAAGTCTTCTTGTAATATCCAACAGTCCCTTCTGTAAGATCATTTCTGCCCATTACCAGAATTTAATTTAAGCGTAACTGCTCGCGAATAGTATTTGTCTTGACTGTTCTAATAGATAGTATTTTTTAAGCTGAAAAACTGTTCATGTTGAGGATTTGATAAATACAGAGGATCGAATACTTAATACATTGTGTAAACTAATTAATCTTTTATTAATTGCTACACATCCCACTTTGATTTGTAATCTATATACTATCCTTACAGTATTTAAGACATATTTTTGATTCTGAATAAAGAACTTTATACTCCCAAACCATAGATTATAAATTGCTGAAGATTTTTGTTCTTGTTTTTTGACATTGTTCTAAAATTTGGTTTTGCCCTGCTCCACACTAATTTCCTAGCAAGATACTAAAAGGTGAATAAATAGGTGGAACCAAGACCTTATTCAGAAATATTTATATTGATTTTAATTAATTTAATTTAATTTAATATTTGATTAAAAAAGCTAAAAGGCAGTGAACAATAACGACATTTCGACTAGTCTGCAGTCGTGAGTAAAAACGCAGAAATTCATTCAGATTTGCAGAAGACTTGCTACTTCCTGTTCTGGAAGATTCAGAAGTCATAACTTTTAAATTACCAAAAAAAAAAAAACAATGGAAATAAATATACACAGATTAAAACTATCAATCAAAAATTTGGAGCAATGAGTGTATTTGTTAAGAAGAAAACTTAAAAAATTTCGTTACCTTGGAAATATATTACTGAATTTACAATGCTTTTCATAAGGATAGCGGAAGAGGAAATCATTGCAAATTGATGTTTATGAATTCCTAAATACAACTGTCATCAGAGAACTTTGTGATAATTGTGGATAAAAGCATCAGAAATGAGATATAAATGGATAGCTGATTTGTAATGAAGAAAGAATCGATACATTATTTATATATATTTTTATAAATATAGTTGCGGTGTATAGTCAAATAAAAAAATTGAAAGAAATGAATTTTAAAGCTGGCCATTTCTGATGAAAAAAAAAAACTTTATTAGCATCCTAAAATCAGTTTGTAAAATAGGCGGGACGGAAAAGAAAGATCACAAGAATCAAAATACATATGTTGAGCCAAAGCAGACTTGCAAAACGCGCTATTCATGAACAAGATAAAGTTCAAAATTTAGTCCACTTTGGATCAACCTTTGTAACACATGATATCTTGGATTCAAATAGGTTAGTAGATAAACCACCACCATCCACAACCGAAGGTAAACACATTTTTTTCAACATTTTTTGGTTCCAAGCACCAAAAGCACCACTGGAAGGTACTGTATCAAGGTGATTCTTATGTGAAACTTACACACGTAAGAGCCACTTAACACACACCTCCTCCTAAAGCCCTTCAGGAAGCTTCCTCTATTTCTTGTACAAATTTTTTTGGGTAATCTTATGCATTTTAAACTTTTTCACAATTGTTTTTCTTTTTTTAAGAACAAAATTAATTTAAAACAATATGGTTTTCATGGCTTACAGACTCACCAAAAAATCGAATTGCAATATTGCTTTGAATAATGCTTCGTTGCGATCTAACCAGTCAAATGCTGAGTACTTCATTGCATCAAATACTGTTTCATTGCAACTTTTATGAAATATGTACCCACACATACTTTCGAACTTTAAATTATGATCAGTGAATGTATACTAATTAACGCTTCAAGTATACACCTTGCATTTTTTTAACATGAGGATATGATGATTCAGTAAGAAATGTCTTTCATCAGGAATCACCTTAACACCTGATGGTAAAAAAGTTACTTACTTTCATCAAACTTTTTGAATTTAATATTCAATACTGACACCTTTAAACATCCTACCGTCCTCAAAAAGCCACTTACTTGATGACCATTTTCTAAAAAATATCAATAGAATGGCGGTTCTAACAGCACCACCTAGTGCATGAAAAGGAAGTATACGTGATAATTGAACAAAACTCCAGAGAAAGATTCACAGCAAAGGCAGTATTAGTAGGAGAAAAGTTCCGGGAACAGGAGTTCATACATCGGCTTTTGACCTTGTGGCGATGTGACAGCTAAACGAGATTCAGAGGATGGAGATATGATACGAGAATCTGCATTCAATTTACTGAAAATCTCATTAATTGTGGCTTGCAAAGTCTCTTCATCCTGTATCACAAAACACACAAAATTTAGTGAACTGGTATAAAAATTCTCAAAATTAGGGAAGTCAACCTGAGAGTATATCTTAAAAATGAAAAAATTACCTTTATTATCAAAAAAATTGAGGTATCTTCCGTGTTCCAAGTTCTTTTTAATTATGATGCACGGAAAAAATGAGTTTGCGTCGGAGAAACATTGTTGATAGATCAATGGGTATTACCATACGTATTTGTATCCCACGTCTGCTGGTTTAGGGGTAAAACGCAAATAAGGGTATGATGTGGCCAGTGGGTATAGTACGCAAAAAAATAAAGTAACACCAACTGACCTATCCATCTTGTGTCTTCGATGCAAACTGTTTTTTCTTTACGTCCTGAATTTATTCATAAATTATTAATTTGTAATTACAAAATTTAATTTTCTATTAATCTTGTTGAATTTGAGTGAACCAAAATTATGTCACGGGCTCTTAGATTTTCTTATTTTTTCTTGTGATTAGTCTCAACCGTCTGCAGTTTAGATGTCATGGACGTATTTCTCAAAATTACAAAAGAAGATTTAAATCTTAAGTCAAGTTGTGGCTGAGATGGCTCTTTCAGGTAACAGAAGTCTGGCTTGCGTTCAAAACCGTTAAAAAAAACCAAGATTTGGAATAATGGCATAGATAAAAGACGGATCACTTACATCAATTATATTCTTCGTGACAAGTTCATTGAACGAAGTGGTTCTAAATGTTTCATACAATTGGTTTTGTCGCTCAGCTTCCCTTTCACGTTTTGCGTCTGGATTTTCGGAAATAATTCTTTTCATTGCCTCAAATGTCAAATCTTCATTCGGATATTTCTGAAAAATTCAGTTGATGATATTAGTTAAAAGTTCTAGATACATCGGTTGCCAAAGCATCAATGCTAGACTCCAATCTGGATTTACACATTTTGTTTGTTCGGATTCAATGTTCCATGAAAAATGACAAAAACATTTGACTACAATTGAAACGCAACATGCAAAAACTGCAAAAGTCTATGGTCTTGAAATTTTGTGGGTAGATAAAATTGTTGAAAGTAAGCTAAAACAATGAAAATTATGTAAAGACTCGTTTTAGGGTTACTTTCCAACACCTGATAAGTATTATCCTCACAAAGCTGGAAAAATGGACATCAGCGGTTTTTGCACGACACAATTCAATGTACCACTAGACAAAGTGCTGCAAAATGCAAATTTAAGCTTCATCATGTATACTTTTTCTCATTAAAATCTAATGTAGAGTGCAATTTGTGCGACAAAAATTACTGAAAGTAACTCCTAAAATAGTTAAGAATGCCTTTTGACAATCGCAAAGAGGGGTCAGAATTTGACCTATTGTGTGTGAAAATAAAGACAAGGAATAGGATAACGGAGTGACAAGTTTTCTTGTAGTTTAAAGTTCCCTGCCTTTTCCATGAATTTTCAATGTTTATTTTTTACATAATTACTCATTAAAATGCTTCTCATGAAAAACATTTGGCGCAAAGTTACTTGAAATTGGAAAAATTCAAAATTTGAGAATTAAAAGGCGGAAATTCTAACTTTCATAAATAGAGCCTGCAGGTGCGGTAGAAAATGGTTAAGATTCTCGACCAGAGTAAAGAATTTTAAGGTTTCTCAGCAATATTTTCTGACTTTTGAGGGTTTTCAATGATTTTCCAAGAACTTGTCACCCTGTGGAAAGAAAATTTAATTACACAAATTTTTGACCGGAAGAGTTGGTAAGGAGTAGGCAGGTCTCTGATCAGGGACAAGGGATCGGGTTGAAGTTCATGACTTAAGGGATATGACGACTGAGGAAAAGATTGACGGGAGTGACTATGGAGGGATACAGAGTCTTCACTGAAGCTCCCAGTTTCACATTTCCTTGCCCAATGCCAAAATTTTTTACCTGCATCCAAGACCTACAAAAAAGATGAGCCAAATTCACAACTTAAAGCTGTTGAGGAGATTTTTGTAGCTACTATATACAGCTAGATTTTGGGTGATGGTGAAGACATTTGAACAGTTTGAAAGCTTGCCTTCAAAATATTTAGATCATTTGTGTAATTTAATCTTAAGCTGATGACATCTTTCAAAAATCCTAGCGTGAACAGGAACTTATAAATTATGAAGCCTTCATAAAAGTTGATAAGATTTTGAGTTTTCTGCTTCTACAAAGCTGCATTAACCAGCTCTAGTTTTTAAGACTAGGGGTCTTCTAAGAAATCTTACCCTCTGTATTCCTGGTGTTGATGAGCCACTATCTAAATTGGAATGAATGTCAGTAACACTTCCTTTCATCGCGGCGGCACTTTCGACCCAACTGTGTCTATGACCTAAACTTGTTGCACCTGGAGAGATAAAAATTAGTATTAGGATCATAATCTTAGATTAAAAATAATTCTGCAAGTTTGGCATGCTGGGTCATGCAAGGGTCACATAATTGAGGACTTTTTCCATGAAAGGGCGTATGAGGCTTCCAATGCTGAGAATAACAATAAGATTGTGTAACGTAATTCAAAAGGTCAAGTAACTTGTGCGAAAGCTCTGACATGAATTTTTACCTGAATCTACTCTAAATTTTTTCCACTTTCATGTGAAAGTATGTAGACTGTAAATGAATTTCATTTAATGCGAATGCAGTAAAAAATGGCACAATCTTAGCAGCGTTGCGAGCCTCATATGCCCATTTACCAAAGAATTCCTCAATTCATCCTTAACCTTGGTCTTAAAAAACAGAGAAAGTGATAAAATTTTATTTAGTCACCCCTTTATCCCTCAAAAATGCCTTGATTTTTATATTTTCAAGATGAAAATAAGCCCTGATAGGAAAATAATCAATACATACCTGGCAACATTGAAGGTGAGCTACTCAAACGAGCAGCATCCACTCCGGCAGACTGCAAAATTTCGATCAGTTGACTTTGTTCTAATAGGCATCCATTGGGGACAGGTGTTTCTGACTTTACTGTATGCATTTCTTCCATTGGAGGTAGCAGATGGAAAGCACTGGTTGATGAACGAGTCTCAATAATCTAGAAAACCACAAAACCGCTTTGATAATCATATCTTGGTGATACAGACTTTTTTCAACAAGAAACTATTAACTGGACACATTTATGCTAAAAAAAACGATGTTGCTCGCAAACCCTAAGCACATAGTTCTTTTTTATTTAAAAACATCCATTATTGAATCATCCATGAAAGCATTCATCTGCATACAAAAAGTAATGGCACATATCGATGGCAAAACTGCAAAAAACCGTATCTTGGTTGTGGTGTTTTAAAATGTCGGCTTATTTTAATTTTAGGAGGAGATCAAACCAACAACATGGCTTGAAATTTTTACGGATTATTCACCTAGAAGAAAAATCACCAATGTTTTAAAAAAATGGCATTTATTAGGTTTCAATACAGAAAACACAGTACGACAGGAAGTCTGCAACGCAGCAAACCAAGGTGTGCATTCCTGCAGTTTCATCCGTTCACTTTCAATGTGCTGCTTCTAAAATGAGCAGAAAATAATTGATCCATATTGCAAAATGTATGGAGTCCAACAAGTTCAGTTCTCATAAAGTTTTTTTCCTCTAATGTTGAAAGACAGAAAAAATTAGAAAAAAAAAATTGAGTTTCTGATCAGGATTAAATTACTTTTGATCATGCTTCCATTGATTATAAAATAAAAATAAAAAAAAACTTTGACAAGAACGTAGACCAGATATATGACAGTAAATATTGATTTTTTTTTGGACAAAAAGGCAATTATAACATTAAAATTAGATTAGAGGAGTTCATTTGGTGATTTGATGAGACAACTAAGGTAATACACAGCAGCATCACGCATTTTAGGACTTTAAACGATTGGTTACAGTTCTCTATTATCTGTGAACATTTTTGAAAGCACACAAGTTTGAATATTGCAATTAAAGTGTAGATGAAGAAAATAGAAACTAACCTTGTCTGCGTAATCTTTCAGTGGAAGTGGAATGATTTTCGGAATCAAGGCGAACAAAGATATGACCAGTATGTGCAAATTATACATTTGCGATTCAGACAACAATGTACTAGTTAAGGCCAGATCCTGAAACGAGGCACAAAGTATTAATTGGCTATTTAGACAGACAACATTAAAAACAGATACTTATACAATACTGTCTTCCAGTATGACACCTGCTCTTATCACCACTTCGATGTGAGATACACTGATGAATATGGAAAAAATGTATCATTCAGTTTCGTTAAAGCAGCATTGATTACTACAACAAGTAACTTTTCAGTTAAATAAATGTCATATTTTGATGACTAAACAGATATGAGTAGCAAAAGAGGCAATTTATGCAAGAGTTACGAGGGAATGTTAGTGGCAACGTAGGGTGAGAAGGAATCTGTATACAAATTTGCATTAATCTGAAAAACAGTACACAATAAAAGTAATATCTCTACTACTCCATTTTATGGAAGACACCTTGCAGAAAACACGAGGCAAGGCTTTCAGTAATTCAAAGATTTACTCTTCATTAGATTCGTAACCTAAAAAACTTACTAACTCACCTGAATAGTTAGAATGAAGATAAGAAAATCTAGCACCATTTCTTCTGAATAAAGTTCAACCAGCAAAAGGGCTAACGTTGAATAAATTGCTTCTATATTATCTACATCATTATTTTCGAGCTCTAAACTTTCATAGAGGCTTATGTAGAATTCGCGACCAAATTTATGCATAAATATAGCATCCTGCCGCGAACAGCTAACAAGCACCAAATCTAGATTATTTACATCAGTCCTGGAATAGAAAATAAAGTTTATACAATAGAGGCATGGTAGAAAGAGCATTGATTATGATAATTAAACTGAAAACTTAACTTGATAATGGTCTCATAGTGATTAAATATCTTATTAATAAAGAGATCCCTGGTAGAGTGGATGAGCATGATATCATGCTGAATTGGTAAGGTATGGCACAGAAAACCAGTATGTTATCTGTATAATGCCAGCGAGATATAATGCTGATATCATACAAATATCAAATAGGAAAATCGTCGATTCACACAAAGATATCACGTTGATCGACTTTACTAAGGCTTATGCTCTGTATATATAAAAATCTGACGTGACAACCATCCTGAATTGGCAAACCTAGAAGATATTTCATTTTCTGAGATAAAAATTGCCTTCTAATGCTTTTATTTTTCAGATCAATCCTCTGAATATTTTTTTCTTCTTTTTTTTACATCAATACCAACTTTTCAAATATGGAAGATACAAAGACCTTTATTTTTTCCCCATTTTTTTTCTTAATTTATTTTTCGGTTTGTTTGAAGAGGCGAATAGATATTACTGTATGGTATGCAACGTGCTACTACTGATTCAGTACTTAAAGTCAAAATCCAATGACTGAAACTTGCTGCAAATTTATTGCTATCGATTATCTCCAGGAATGGTAAATGTAATGGGACCAGGAGGATAATTATTGGCCAGCTTTGAACCATTTTCCGATCAACCATTTTTCTATTACATTCTATGTATATCCTACCACTTATCATCCATCCCAAATGCATTCTTTAAACCTTAAAGGTAACTGATGTGACAAAATACAAAAATAACCAAAAAAAGCAGTAATCATAAAACTTACGTTGGTTTTGTGAGTCTACAATAATTGTCGTGTCTATCTAAAAGGGTATGCAGAATACGGAAAATTAGTAGTCGGATATCACAATCTGCTGCGGTAACCATTTTCAGCAATGGTTCTAAAAATGATTGCGGGAATGTTTGCGTCATCTGAACGGAATTATATTTTGTGCTCACCTAAATGGGGGAAAAAAATATGTTTAATTTCATTACCTATCTTGGACAGACATGAAGCTTTGTAAGTATATCACTTGAGGCAAATCGTTATTGTTGTGATGTTGTATTTGTTGTAATGCAGCAAATCAAATGCTCTTACTTTTGTTTCTAAATATCCTCCACATATTGAGAGAATACCTTTCATCATCATTGGTTTCAAGTCCTTTGAGATGGGACCCCCATAGATGATGGGAAGTCCTTCTTAAAGAATTAAATTTCTAAAAAATAATTTATTAATTTTACATAAAATTAATTTGATTCAGGGGAATTTATATACACAGCCCATTGCTATGAGATATTATAACAGAAAAATCAACATCCTCCTGAAATCACGAAGTAGTAGATTGATTCAGTGGCTGTGTCCTTCAAAAATTGCGATAGAGTAATCGAAATCTAAGTTGCCCGCTTGAATCTCAAAAAGCTTTGCTGTACTTTGACAACATAGTAAAATTGAAACAGCCGATCAAAGGATTGAATTTTTTGGGACTGAGGTTATGTTTCTGTTTACAATTGAACCCGCAAATATATCAATCTATTAAATGATGTAATCACTGAATCAGTTCATTGCATTGCTGATCCTCTTCAGACCAGAAGGGATTACTGAAATTAGAAATGCAAAGGTGTACTGGAAAGTTAAGAATTCAACAGACATTAATAATATTATGGACAGATTCGATAATTTAGGGGTTCTAGGGACGCAGAAATTTTTTGGCTTCCTCTTTTCAACATGATCACCTTTTCGAAGCTTTGTGTGCACATATTGCTGCAATTTCGCAAAGTGCACATGATTTTTAGAGGAAGTTTTTGCCAGCCTTACCATTTTTAGAAATTGTTTTCATTGCGATCCCATTTTCGAGCGCAACCCACCCAGTTGCGTAGTCAAGACAGTTGTAGTCCTGCTTCACAGAGTGATTTGCTTTTGACCAAAACAACATATATTACTATGTCCGTTTATGTTGGTAACTATCAATTGGCCTTATTGAAAATATGAGATTTTGGTACGACTTAAGTTACCCTTAGCCCTTTTACTCTTTTTTCCCCCAATTTCGATGACAAACTTACCATCAAAAGAGACTGGAGACAGATCCTTTGCAGAACTATATCTTTCTCTGCTAGGTTCCTGTTGCCTCCTGAAGCCGAGGGTACTTTGGACATGATAAACATCATAATCTCTATTTTTTGATAATTCGGTAAGTGAGCTGCAAATTCTCCCAAGGCATGAATCAGAGCATCCTGATACAGCTGCTCTTCGTCTTGCTCATGGCCTGTAGGACGTTGTCTACCTGCTGATGTCCGTAAATGCGCCAAGAGAGAATTGATAATTTCTAGAACAGTAGGCCCTATAAAAAAAAAGAAAATGATTTGTCAACCAGCTAGCATCAAAAAGCAGAATTTTCTTGAGAACGAACTCTAGTTATGTATCTACATTGTCTTCTGATGTTTAGAAAAGTGACTTGTCAAGAAATTATATTCACTGCACTTCAATTTTGAATAAAAATAAATACTGGAACCAGGGGTTTTTACTTCGGGGAGATAAACTATTTTTAATTATCTAAGATACCAGAAACTAAGGGTGTTCAAATGAATTCTTGCCGGAACACTATCAGCATCGTCTCTTACCGAAACTGGTGACAGTGGCGATGATATGACAGTGGCGGCCTTACCGGAGTTTCGAGAGCTCGCTCTCAATGCATTTTTGCCCCGTGAGTCGGTTTGTCAGATTGCCTGGCGCGATGGCGCGTAAAATAGATGTACAAATGGCAACAGCTCATTTTCATTGGCTCCGAAAACTCAGATCGCTATCGGTAAGAGCACTTTTATCGTAACTTTTTCTTGACGGAACTGTTTTGGTAGCTTACCGACAACCGATAGAACAGCCCTACCAGAAAATGTAACCGCAAAAGATTTTTCATAAGCGATGGTCCAACTTAACATACAAATTTCTGATGAAAAAAAACTTACCAACACTATCACTAGCCGCAATTGCAATAATTTTTGCTAAAACTTCTGCAATGCTGGTGCGAATTTTGATTGCAGTTTTTGAATTTTTATCTAAATGAATAATCAGACTCTCCACAACTGTGTAGGTGTATTGAGACTGCAAAAAAAAAAAAAAGGACAAAAAGCTTAGAAATTGTAACAAAGAAAAGGGGAAAACGCACACTAAATGCAGATTCAAGCTATCCTGAATGGCTCAAGCAGGACAAAACGACACTAATACTTGGCTTCCTTTGAAGGTGGCTCATCATCCACTTAACTGACGAGTAGCTCTACTCAGGCCAAATGAGCAGTAGATGAAGTCTCAAAAAAGTTTGCATTGATTGTCTCGGGCAGTTCAGTGGGAATTCTCCTTCATTATTTTTGAATTTTACATTTTTTTGCTTTGAGAAAAGTAAATCTGTAAGTATATAGGCTCTTGAAGTTAAAATGATAAAATAAAGGTATATTTTTTCAGGGGTTGCTTCTACTTTCAATGAATGAAACAAATATTTAGCATCCTGCTGATAATTTTTGACAGAAAAAGTGAAAGACAAACAGGTAAAAATGACATCTGAAGAAATATTTTGAGCTTTCTGAGGCCAATCAACGAACAATCATGTCAATCTCTTATGAAATATCAGGCATCTGGAATACATGAGTTCACATTAACGGTAGACTAGAAATTTACAAAACGGATGCTGTACCTCGAAATTAAAATTAATAATGTTGAAAACAAACCTGAATGGAAAACATTAGTATTTTAAAGACATGAACAGCAAATGTATTTGGCAGCCACAATCCATGTAAATCTAAATGCCTGGAACCAAAGAAAAAACAGAGTTTAAAAATACTAATGTATTTTGAATACAAAAATATACACCAATGCATGTAAAGACACATGTGCTTAAAAGTGTGTACACAAATGTTATCTGTATTTAATAATACAGTTTTAAATTAATTTAAAATAGCCCAAAATAATACAGTAAAATCACACAACTTGGTAAAATTTACCAACATACTTAAATTTACTTGAGTTGTATTACTGAAACTTATATGGTGATGTGCGTGTTCAGAAATAACCCGAATTAAATATGCTTACAAAGAAGAACACAAATTGGACTCACCTCAGAACTGGTTTGATGACAGAATCAACGTGACCGAAACCAGCTCTACCAACAAGTTCTCGGAAGACAGTTTCAGCAGAACTCGGCGGGTCTATATCGCAGTCGTCAACTATAGGTTCATGATTTTCCGAGTCTTTCTCATACCTACAAAAGAAGGTGAGCATGATTTGTGAGGTAACTGAGATAAATAAAGATATATAAATCAAGTTAGCTCAGAGAAAGGAACTTGGTGCAAAAATGATTAACAAGTGGTAAAATTTGATGGTGAACTGTGTTACTTCTTGTTTGAGAAAACGGACTTATCAGTGCATTCTTTATTCCTGTACAAATATTTAATATATAAGTATTTCTGACAGGTTGAAAACAGCTCTGTTGAACAGAGATTTCAGAGATTTAAAGATTTCAAGAGGCATTTCTAAGATTCATGGTGAAGAATGGATAATACTTTGCACCGAGAGGGGAAAAATAATGTGTCAACACCTTTAAATTAAAAATACCAAAATAAGAAAGCATGACAAATACATAGGTACGAACCTTGAGTCCTGCATGTTGTAAAGTAATGAAGGAACAATTTTATCCATGTGAATCGATTCCCAAATATTTTCCACTAGATCATCAGAGACAGTCTTCCTGATGACTCCCTGAGAAAAGACAAAAAATACTACTGATGTAGGCAGGCTCATCAAAAAAAGCTGGTAAACCTACTGACTATCAAATTTAAAAATAAGGAGGAGACGTAAGACATGTAGGAGTTATCGAGATACTCTATTCTAAAATATTTTGGACTGACACGCTAGACGGCAATTTTCCTCCTGACAAAGTCTTCTATTTTTTTTCATTTTATTATTTAGGTCAATGGCAAAACTATGAAACCACGTATCTCTGTTTATAACATTGCAGACTTCTTGTCCTACTTATTTTATTGTTTTTTAAGAAAATTAGTCGATGCAATTGCTTGAAAACTTCTTTGCTTTCTCTTCTGTTAGCAGAATACATACTGTATAAATTTCAAGCTATTATTAAGTTGGTATGTTTGTCTTTTAGAAAATAGAGTAGGAGCGGAAATTTTGAGCACTGAACTTGAGACACTTGCTTTTGCACTCTAGCCATCAATATGTCTTATCATTTTGAAATGTAAGTCTTCCATTTAGTATTTCTGTCATCTTTATTGTGGAGGGTGGAAGTATTCAATTAACAACAGAAATATTTTGGATGGGTCGCAGAAGAAGATTTCTATATTCAGAATTGATGCAAAAAACAGTTCTCACTTGTCTTCATGATATTTCTGCTGATGAAAGAAAAAAAAATTGCTCTGCAACAAGTCAAAATTTCTTTCCATGTATTGAATTAAAATTCTACAGTCGAGATCAGATAGTAAAGTACAGTGGCGTGGCATGAATGATCGATTATCAATATTTCCCCATTTGAGGGGATACTGAAGAATCGATTATTAAGGTGTTTGTTGGGAACACCCTGTATATTGATCTTTTTCCATGGGTTTAAATGGCAGATCAATCTATATATCACAAAGCACGCCACACCACTGGTAAAGTATCTCATTTCACGTGGGTTTACCTGGAGTCCATTGATACCGGCAACTCGTAACTGCGTTAGAGTCTCTGGAGAGGGATGGTTACTGTGGCACATTGAGGAAAACTTAGAAACAAAGAAGTCATAACGTCTGTGGTAGGAAGGAGTGTCTTCTTCAATATTTGCAAACTTAACAAACTGCAAAGTAGAAATGATACACATATTAGCATTCTACACATCACCATACAAAACAGACTCTAAATCACTCATCAAAGCTTGAAGATGCACTTCACACCGAGCAACTTTATATTTTATGCACCTTATGAAAATTACTTGAATGGTCCAAATAACAATAAAATCATAAAAAGAAAACCACTTCTTTCCTCTATGACAGTGATTGTTCTTTTGTCAATTGAAGTTGATGAGATCTGCCCCCATGAACTAACACAACTAGAAGCGAGTAGAACCCCTATTCTTCAGCTTCTTAATCATCAAATTTTGATCCAATCTGAGACATGTAAAAAGGGAGAAGCGTCAATATCTGATACAATATTTTCTCCAAAAATTACATTGATAAAACTTTAGAGACGCAAAGCTGCCAGAGATGAATTTATGCGCACTTATAAAGGCCGACTTTTCAGCTGAGAAATCTTTTAAAACATCCATTAGAGAACCTGTGTAGTTTTCAAAATTTAGACATATTTTCCTTGTGTACCTAATTAACATAATGCTTCATTAACACTTCAAATTAAAAAAAGATTCAAAGTGCCCAAAACAAAACATCTCAGAAAGTCATTGAATTGGCTTACTGATTGTGTTGCTAAAATCTGAAGTTCCGGTTCACTTGATTCTAATAACTTTTGAACTGTCCTCAGGAAGCTCTCCACAAACAAATTCAGCGACTGAGCATGGCATGCCTGCAGCAACTGATCCATGGCCTCCATTGCAATTTTTACAAATCTGAAGCAGATGAAATCGTACAATTAAGCAAGTGTTGGTAAGATAAGGTCAATTCTGGGACAAACTTACAAGGAAATAAGAGAAAGGAAACAACTATTCCATACTCCAATGACCACTAATTTACCTTTCCTGGTAAAATTTTAAATTTGTTGTTGAACTGTAATAATCAATAGTTAAATGAGGAAAGCTAATGAAAAGAAAAACTTTCAGGTGCCTTACTTATATTCTGGGTAAAATTAATCATTAAAGGAGACTTAACAGTTAACATATCTATCACAATACCAGAGCAGAGATTTAAGTCATAAGTTTTCATTTTAAAGAGATCCAAGACATGAAGTCAATTATAAGGTTCTTTGAGTGTTGATCATTTCAAAATAGTTTGTACAGTAAAAAATTATAAAGAATTCAGATATCTCACCCATATCTCCTCCTTGATATGTCACGACTTGCTTTTTCCAGGAGATACTCGCCAATACGATCCAATTTTTCTGGAGATGAGATCGCATAAAATGCTAACTTTTCCATATTGTTTTTCACAAGTCCCTCCTGAGGAAATAAAAAAAAAAGAATTGATAAATAAGCTTGAAGACTTATACTAAAGAGTAACAGGTGGCGAGGTTTTGTTACTTAGGAACAATAAAATACATAGACGAATATCTCAAAAAAGTAGGCAGGTATATTTCTTGAATAGCGAATAAATCAGAGATCAAACATAAAAGTCAGATTCTAATTATTTAATGCTTACCTATGACAACTGGAGCAGGTTTCTACCGCAAATCTGATGATGGGTATTACTGTGAATTGTTATAAGATCAAAATAAAACATGAAACACTGCGGTGACTTTATATTGACATTGCTATGTCACAGAAAAGCAATATAGCTTACTTTCTTCCCATTTTAATGGTGAAACTGCCCGACCACATATCTTAGTTTTTGACAATGCAGACTTCTTGTCATACTTTATTTTTTAATTGGAAAACTATTCAACGGCAAGTCTTGAAAACTTCCATGATTTTACTGCGCTGTGCAAAGAAAACTCTGTGAAAACTTCAATGAATGATATTGATTTGTTCTCCTTCAAAAAAATAAGATGAAAGCTGAGATTATTAGACACTGCAAACAAGATAAATGGTCTGGTAGTCTAGATTTGTACCATTGAAAAAGGTCATGTCATTGATATTGTTTGAATCCAGTCCAATAACTGAGCAACCTTAAGTACGGTGATGCCATCACTAATGGCATTCATTCAAGGGAAATGATTAGGCAATAAAAAACCTCTACATCTGCTAGGAATGACCTATTAATCAATTTTATAGATTTACAGGTAACACATCGTGACATACCTGCGGAGAGTTTGGATAAATATGGTCTACAAGGTGCTTGTAGCGAGGGGTTCCCATTCCAAAGCAACCTGCAACAATGAGTGTAAATGATTAGATTGTGATGATGGAGGATTTCAAATAGGATCACTCTTAAGGCAATTATCACAAAACTATTGAGGCTGAAACTTAGGAACCTGTAAGGTGGACCAACCTCTTACAATGTCTGCTTCAACATTAACTGGCATAACAGCCAAACTTGATAATGAATTATAAAAAGCCATCATAGACACTTAAAAACTATAAGAAGAAGAAGAATAGAAGAACTAAGCTGAATTTTCGAAGAAAAATATTTGGGACTGTTTGCAAACAGAATTACCCGATTCCAAATGACCATTAACAGGCTCCGTTTGAATTACTCCGTGACTTTCGGGTTTTTACATATGAATGCCCTACGTTTCTACCAAATGCACAACGATCTTTGGGGGTCGTTGAGGACCACAGAATTGCCTTTTCCAACGGGAGAACCAAAAGGAATCGGATAAGTTGACTTCGGCAACACAGCTCTACTGAGGAGCAAGTAAAAGTGTACGGCTAGTTCAAACAACGGATTATGTGCGACAGCTGGGATTTGCGTCCGGAGAGATAGCTCCCTATGTATATTGAAAGAAAAGTATTTCACTGGGTAAATCCGTAGCTGCCATGTGATGATTTCCACCAACAGAGCAGATACCAAATCGCAAAACTGATAAAGGGAAACATAACCTTAAATCTGCCTGAAAACATTTCAATTCTAATCATGATGAATTACGCATGTAGTTCCTGACAAAATTTAAAGTTGTCAAAAGCATATTCATTCTTGTGCGTCGTTTTTCCCCCGACCATTCAAATGATCACTTTAATCTGCATGCAAGAGATGAAACACGCATGGCTTAAGTACTGCATTGCAGTAGTAGCTCACACTGCTTCATTCACATGTCTGTGATTAGAGAGAAAAGAACCTCAGAAGTAATTTTGATAGAAGCGAGAATACTTTAATCACATTTGCAATCTTTCTGAAATATAACGGTTCCTTCAAAAACAAGATGAACAAATTAAATCATAAAATTTAGTCCTAGGTTGTGAAGTATTGAGTGAAGTTTACAAAATCCAGGATGATATGATGAAGAGATCCTTACCGCAACACATTTTTACTGAGTATTTTCGGACACAAAGGACGGAAAATCGAGTGGAGATTCGTTACATGAAAAACTTAAAGCTAAAAGATGAAATAATGCAAATAGAATAGAAACTGATAAGGGTGTAAAAAAGAAACACGGCCTTCGCCTTCCAAGAAAAATGTCAACAAACAATTACGTCAGCTGACAGGGTCATTATTTCGTCACCAGAGAGCGTGGAGTGTCAACCTATTTTATGTATGTGTGTTTGCGTTATGGATTTTTGAAGGGGTTCCAGGGCCGCGTTTTCCAGTTCGCAAAGGCAAAGCTTAATGCTATTAATGCTACATCTTTTTACTTATTTGGATTTCTTTTCCTTTTCCGTTGCACTAATATCATTTACTAGGATCTAGACTTTTTCGCTAGGTTCCATTTTTATTCCTTTTTTCTTTGACTTCTATAATTAAAAATATGCAGATCACTTATTTTGCCTTTATTTTCCTTATTTTTCCATCCGTTCATTTTCTTGTAAAAAAATGTCACAGAAGACGGGAAAAACTGAGGTTCATTTAGTATTATTGATTTATCTACTTAGGATAGGGGTAGGAGGTTTTACCATCAACACGTGATAACCAGTCTAAATTTCGACACGCAAATTCCTTGCGGTATGAAATTGGACCATTATGAAATAGTTGGATATTTAGAATAGAGGAATTGGTCTGTGTTCCCGAGCTGCCCTTCGAATTCGACCGAATATAGAAGTGATTGCCAAAAGAAGGTTTGAAGCAGGAAGTTGCTTGCTTCGTTGTGGGCTGCAGTCAGTTAGGAGCATATAAAAGTTTTTCCTGAATGTCCAAAAAAAAGTCTCCACCTATGTGCGCTATCCGGTGCTCTGTTTTTTTGGTGGGGGAACCGAAAGAGGGGGAGGAGGAGTACGCGGATAAGTCCTAAAATTCAGCGATCTATACTAGTAAATTTTAGGGCGAATATTTGACAACCATTCTCTCCCTTAAAAGGTTCATGGTGAAAAAAGGTTTGAAATTATCGTCTGAGAGCTATAAAAAATACTCGAGGTTGCCGTAGCGTGAACCCTAAAAATTGAAATTTTGTTCAATAATGTAACCCTTAGATGTTCAAGCCGGGTCAAATTAACCCGAGGTTTGCTAAAACACGTGCCCTGTGGGTTTTCCAGGGCCGGTACATGAGTTTTAGATATAGATCTACAAATACATCATAAAAAAAGTATCAAATATCATATTTGAAAAAAACGAAGAAAAAAAATCGATTGTCAACACAGCCGAAGATAATAGATAACGTAATCGAGCCTCATTTTTCAACATTTCTTCCAAATCTGAACGACACCTCATTTATTGACAGCATAGAGCGAAGCATTGTGAGTTCACGCCTCGCGCCATAGCGCCTTCAATTTTGCAGATGCCACATGGTCATCCATCAAGCACGAATAGTTGTATCTCTGCGCCGTCATCAACGTGCGTCCTTTCCCTTGCTCTATTCCCATATTGTGTTTGTTTTCATTTGTCTTATTTGTATTGGTGTACGCGAGCATCACCGCCGAAGATAGAAAAGACGTATTTGGGTCTCGTTTTACAAATTTTCTCCCAAATGAATCAGTGAGATCGAAAACACGCCAACTCGGTAACTCGAAAATGCTCAATTTTTATAAAGGGCATTGAAGTTAGCGCATCTGTTCCTGGATCTTGGACTTGGACCATTAAAGTATCTTTAGGTACTTGTCTTTCTGTACCAAAAATATTTTTCACAGACTAATTTTTTCACTTGCTGTGCAGTTTTGTATGTGTCTTGATTATTTTCATTTTTTCGAGTTGGTGTTTTTCGTTCTTACTGATTCAAATATGCATAGAGCGGAGCATTGCGAGTTAGGTAACGCCTTGCGTCACCGAGGAGAGAGAAAAAAAAGTATTCCCCACCTTCAAAAACTTGGAGATAACATAGATAATACTTGCAAACTATCATGATCGATGTCTTTAAATACGGGTTGACCCGACTTTAGAACTTTGCATTTAAAAAAATCATTGGGCACTTAAGGGTTAAAAGGAGGATAAATATTCCTGAACGAAAGCAGTCAAAGACGGCATGGGCCGTCGAGTCAAAGATGTTGTCCATCACGGTCTAGTGCCCATCGAATTCAGCGCACTGTCAGACATTGTTAAAATTATAAATTTTCCATCCTTAGGGACTGCAGCTGCGGAGTAGGTACCTAAAGTTAGATCACACAGGCAGCAATAAGTATTATTTTACTCACATTTTGAGTTATTGGAGGTGCACTTGGACACGATTGGATTATCGACACAAGACTGCGGCAATTCAATTTGCCGATCGAAGCAACACTTCACCACGATAGCCATTTTCGAACCGGTCCTTCAGAGAGAGGTGTTAGCTCTGTAAAAGAAAACAAAACCAAAAGTCAAAATAATTACTGAGTGATCGAGGTTGAAAGAGATGGAGGTTAGCGAGGGTGATGTTTTACGGAAGGAAATCGAGTGACATGGACTTGGAACTGAGAGAATTAGGTTTGAGATTTTCATCCCTTTATGACGCTCACGAGGAGAAGTAAATTTCAAGACAAATACCAAGGGCACCGCTCCTATTCCGACAGCGCCTTAGAAATATCAGTCGGCGCTCCGGTTTTTTGCACTTTTTGAGAATGTACAATTGTACAATAAAAAAATACTTTTCTCCTTCAAACAGTTTGTAATAATGTTTGTGAAGCAATATTAGAAGGGGGCGCCCGGGCGCCAAAGGTCCCCCCCCCCCCCCCCNCGTCTGACAGCGCTGAAGATGCTCTGGTGTTTTTCCTTATTTTCTTCACTTTTTGCGAATACAAATAAATGCGCTGTTGACACTTTGACTTTCCGAGCCTAAAAAAAATTTTAAGAATTGTTGATGTAAATAAAATCACTGAATCTCAGTCTTAACCTCCGGAGTAAAATTTGAGCTACTTCAATTTCACGCTTGTAAATAAAAACAATAAACCTTAATTTAGGTAATAGAAATTTAACTTCACGATTTTGATAAATGAGTTGCAGGCATTTTAAAGCATGTCCATGCCTATAAGCAGAGGATCTACGCACACTCTACAGAAAATGATTTTTAAGGATTGCACTAAATTTTCAAAATTTTACAGCGGTGCATTACACGATGCTTCATATTTTTTTTTAAAAAAAGGAGAATTTGAAATCGCTTATCGGCGGAAAAACTCATGACTAGGTAGTGAGAAATGCCTTTATTAGTTTTGGGGGAGATATTATAACATGTTAATGAAATGAATAGAAACTATGACTTTCACGTGCATTAAAACAATATTGACTTCGACTGATTTCACCTACCCGAACATTAATATTAATGAAGGGCTATTCTCCACCAAGTTCAATGCTATCCTTCAACATTCAGAGGGAATAATAAAATCAAGAGAGCTATCGTGGGGAAAATGTGGCGGGAGAGAATATTCCTTCCACAGACTGTCAAAACAAAACTTTTACACATAGGTCTATATTTTTCTTTTTCTCGCAATAAACGCGTTAAAATGTTATTGATAACGTATAATTTTAACGTACCTGCATCTATGATGTGAAGATTGAGTGGCTATTCCGCGAGGGATGGTAAAAAAAACGTCACCATAATTTCAACGAGCGTTGTTTTGGGGGGAATTCACCCGGAATGAGGCACTGCTCCCGTGTCCCAGTTTCGGTGGGAACAAGTGCCAGCAACACCACTACAAAGGCTTCTTTACACAGTTGCTTCTATTTGCGGAGGCGTGACCCGACTATTCATCCTGAAAACGTTTCGGCGCACTCCATGAATGAAAATCCGGAGAATGAACGCAATATCTTCTTGAAGGGGAGTAGTGCGTCAAGTGTTGAATCGATTCGGTGCGAGTAAATGGGACATTTTTCGGATGGGGCACATGCGCGCTCGAATTTTCCGCACTCCCGCAGTGCTCCCCTGGTGGCCGCGACGGGAACTAAAGGGTAAAGGGGGCACAGCGCGGGGGATTTCCGCTTATGAAAATTGAGAGATACCGTCGAAATTTTTTTATTTTATTTTTAGGAACTTTTAGATTCTTGGAGTGGAGTTTATTTTTTCTTCTTCTTCTTTTAAAAAGCATAATTTCGACGTTTCAGATTCTTTCCAGAATTATGCTTGGATATGTATTCCGGGTCATAGGTGGATCAAGACATTTTAATGGGGAAGGGCGGAAGGGGGGTCCAGGGGGCTCCCCCGAAAATTTTCAACATTTTAAAGCATCTAATATGCAGTTTGAGTCCATTTCATTTATAATTGTCAGATATGAGCATCCTTCCTTTTTTCTTTTTCCTTCTCTTCTTTTCCCTTTCTTCTTCCTTCTCTCTTCCTTTTTTAGGCAAACGGGGGAGGGGGGGAGTGCGCCCCTACTCCTCCTGGATCCGCCTATGCTCCTGCTATAAATGTATATGGACAAAAAATGCCGACTGTTTTATACCTTCATGGGGAAGGAAACAAGTAAGGCATGACGTATTTTTTTGAGAGAGGAAAAATTCTAGATTCGTAAAACGTCTCGAGAAGGTGAGGAGAGGAATCTAAAATTCCAAATTCCATATTTTATATCCCTTCATAATTTAAGAAATTCACGAATGATTTCAGTTTATATTTAAGATTTATCTCTTCTAACTCTGATATTAATTCTTTAAATTATTCTTTCGAATGTAAAAATGAAAAATAGAGAATACGTGGATTAAGTGAGATGAAACAATTATAATGGGCAACAAGCAGTGAACTCCAACACAATGTGTTGATAAGGCGCGTCATTAACTCGCACATATCAACCCCTTTAGTTTTCATTTACAGAGATTTCAAAATAGGCAAACATCATAAAAAGAGAATTCACGATCCAACACTGCGAGGTCAAAGACGCACCTTGACGAGACCGTGTATTGTGAAAGTAGAAAGCTATTCGATCGAATTTAAGTTTTTTGATCTGCCTCAAGCAAAATCTTATCAGATTCTTGAAGAAAAGTGCTACGGAATAATTTAAGCGAAGAAAGGAAAAATTCTGTCGAACTCCTAGAAGATAAAGTCGATTTAAAGGTATTTTGGGGCTAAAATACCCAAATCACCGGTAGTAAAAATCCCGTTATATTATTGAAAAGAAATTGACTCGATATAAATGCAATTGCATTAAATACGTCTTGATTTTGTTATTTTAAACGTCTTTCCATGCAAAGAAGTTCAACCATGTCGTTGCTTTATTCATTCATGAATTGAAAGTAAGCAATCTACATCCCGAAAATCTACTGATTTGCCGTAAAAAATTGCAGAAACTTGATATACCAGGTCGATGCACCCACTCGTTGAATTTACCAACCAATTTTGTGAGTGCAAATGTGTAAGAATCAATATGCTATAGTCATTTTGGGTGCATTTATTTTTCATGAAACAATAATAATTTCAATCCCGAAAAACCATCAATTTTCCGTATAAAATCGAAAAAATCAAAATATGTCAACTCCCCGACGTGAAAATTAGATTCTACGTATGTAAAATGTAAATACTTATGTATCGATATGCTGAACAGAACTATGTGTGGACAGTCAGAAGCCCGCGGCAACATTAATTCAACAGAAAAACTGTAAAAATTAGATAGGATTTTAGCCGCTTTGCCCGCCTCTCCTCGCTACTTACAACAAACCGTTCTTATACTCATCTCAAAATTTTTCTCAGAGCTTTGGGTTATTATCAGCTTCCATTTAAACTCCGGTTCGATGGCCGAATCGGCTGCCAAAAAAGCAAGCCACTGTTGAGGGGTTCTATGAGAAATTCGTGATATTATCGGCTCTCAGGAAATCACCCCATGGCTAAAATTGGTGGTATAAATGTTTAAGTGCTTAAAATAATCGTATTCAAGAAACTAAGGAATTAAACTATGGAGTCAATTTCTTTTTAATAATATAACGAATTTACTACCGGTGATTTAGCTATTATAGCCCCAGAATACTTTTAAAGCGCCTTTGCGTTCCAGAATCTCGACGGAATTTTTTTTTTTTTTTTTTTTGCTTAAACGATTCAAGAAACATTGTAGTTAAAAATATAAAGATTTTTCGATTTGGACGTATGAAAAATGTTTAACTCGTTCAGGCACACCGTGTATTGTATGGAGTACTGCTGTTATTCGACCGTTGTCTTCAGGTCAAAATTCTTACAAAGAAGCCCCTTGCAAGAGGCAAATTTTTTGTAATTTCTCCCAGTTTTTTCAGCGTTAGGTATATAAATGAATTGTTTGTCAAATTTTGAGGTCAATTATATTTAATTGTAATTTATACTTTCTTTTTTTCCCCTTCATTTTATTTTTCGTATCGAGGAGTCGAGGTTTTGTTGATTTCTTCGGATTTCGATTACTGTAACTTCTCTTCTATTCGGCCGATTTTTATGAATGAGGTCTCTTTTTATTTGTGTTTTAACGGAGAGTAAGGAAAAAATTGCTAAATACATGCGAAACAATTTTTTTTGAAAATTGGATGAATCCTAGCGTGACGGTGAAATGGTTAATGAAGCGTGAGTAATTGGGGTACGGGTATCGGCCGCGTTGGGACCCAAGGCCCATTGTTCTTCGTGACGCCGACGCAGTGATCAGGAGCGTGGGGACGAGAGGGCTTAGTGGACTCCTGTATGAGCCACGTTTAGCAAATGGTCTAATGAGTCTCGAGGCTCATCACAGATTGCACTTACCACTATCCTGGTGGCCCCGGCTATCAGAGCAAGGAGTACCAACTTTTGAAAAGGATAACAGTGTTGTGGAGATATGTCAAAGCAACGTTGTGAACAAAACGGAGTGAGTGAAATTCTCATTCAAGGAGTGCCGAACTGGTCAGCCATCCTCGAATCAGTTCGCTTGCTTCCGCTTATATATGCATATTTTAAATCAGCGCGCCCCATTCTAAGGTTTTTTTAAAAAAAACCAAGAAACGTAGACTCTTGGTATTCATTACACATAAACTAGCGAGCCCCAGAATGAGAAACAAATTTTAATCATTATTATTGACGGATTAGTAAACTTTTTACACGCTTTGGAAAATCTCAGAAGTTCGCGGTAGTCACTTTTCGGTAAGGAACTAGGGGACTCGGTTATTGTATCGAGGGGGGGGGTCGAAACGATCGCAAAGGCGGTATACTACGTATACGCGCCAAAATGCGGTTTTATCAATGAAGGAAACCATCTGCCGATTGTGCATATCGAAGATCAGACCGAGTCGCCTTAGCGTCGCATCGTGTCGTGGCCATACAACACCCCCCCCCCCCC